ATTTCTGAGGTTAATAGGGTAGGCAACACATGACAGCACCCTGTGGGGGGTAGGGTGGCTTTCTGGCCATTTGTGTAAGTGGAGAGCGCTGGAGTTTAATCTCAGTTAAATCCCATTAGTGCTTCTTAAGTGTTGAATCGTGTACAGTGGCTAGGAGCATCGAGTCAGGCAGAATATTCTATTTTGAGCCAATTCCTTCTCCTCCCTTGCAATTTCTCCATAATTGGAAGATTTAATGGCAGTGGGCTTTTATAAGAACTATTGCAAGAGGGAGATTGACAGACACTTCTTAAGAGATCCTTCCTGCAAAGATTTCATTAGAACTTGCTAAACAAACTAATAAAGTCATGCGCAGCTGTTGCCGAAATGCTGTTGATTTTGGGCTATAGCACGACAACCTTTAAATAACACATGTAACAGTCCAAGATTTTTAATTAAAATAGCTGGTTAGCTAATCCACATAAAGGATATTAGCCATGAATGCTGGCACACTGAACTGTAGCACAAAATATTCTCACTGGTAATATTTCAATAACTACAAAGGAGTCTCTCTCAAGATAACACTTGAGATTTTGAGAAGCGCATGCTGACATCTAATAATTCAAATGTGGAGGGAAACAGAAATAGAGTTTTTACAAATAAACTTCAGAAATGTATTGGCTGAGTATGAGCTATGTGTAATAGGTGACAGGGACGAGAGAGAAAAAAGGAAAAAAGGCCCGCTTGGACAGGCACTTTAATTTAATGCACACTGCTTCAGCCAGGTAGCTTTCATGAATTTTGACCGCTTGCTGTCATCATTGTTCAGCAAGATTTGCATAATTTGTGTTATGTAGGGTTTCAGCATCAAACTGAATCTCCAATCTTAGCTCTATCCATGTGCAGAACATCATATTATTTCTGCTGTTTCAGTAAATAGATCTAAATCAATTCAAGAAATGGGGAGAAAATTTAGATTCTGTCTTTACTGCTATGAGTTCAGTCCTTTGCCTGAGATCACCAAATCTTTATTATAATCATGAATAGAACTTCATTCGTGAGAAATTTGTTTTATTCTTTCCAAAGTACTGAAATGTCCTTGGCTCTCATTAGCTGTGACACACCAGAACACTTCCTTCTCTGGTCAGAATCCTTAAATGCTATCTTTAGACATTCAGGTTTACCTGAAGCTCTGGATGACAAAAACAGTTCTGGCAGAGAGACCATGTCATCTTCTTGTATGAAAATATGATGCACTCACTCAATACGCTGAACTGTTGAAGGCCATGGATCAAAGTAGGAAAAAATGCAAATGCAATTTAGGAATAGTAGCCACAGGAGTAACTACATCTCAGCCATCCCAAAGACAGCAGCAGTACTAATCCTGAACCACAGTGCCGAGACCCAGCATCCTTTGTTTTACCCAGTTGTTAGGAACAGTACCGGGATAACAGCGCATACCATCAACCCTGCAACCCTTACCTTCTTTCTGTTCCACTGGTAAGGCCACCTTTTAAGTCTATTAAATTCTCAGCTGTCAACTGACAGTTTACACCAAAGGAAATTGGCAGTCAGCATAAAGTGACTGGTCAGTCGCATGGCCTGGAGTGGAACAGACAGATTTTTGGCCTGAAGGGGTATGACTTGTTTTCATATAACATTTTTTATTAACAGGGTCATGGTCCATAGCCTGCCTGTGAAGAGTAAAAATCATTATTCCAGATCGACATTACTATACTCTGCGTACTTGCTATCTGAAATCCACAGTTAGATTCCTACTGAATCTCTTTTGTGAAACCTCCAACCTGTTGGATACATGTTGTGCTCATCGCAGCAATCCAGCTATGAACCACCATCAGATTTACATGGACCTTTCAGCAGCATTACTGCTACTATTAAAAGGACATGTATTGAAGACCCAAACTGCAGGCCTGATGTACCCAAACTGCAAGCACCTCTGACTGATTTTCATCTCTACATTCTCTAAAAAATGAAATACAAAGACAGTCAACAGCAGTGACTTCCATGCACAGCTGCAGTCTTTATTTATCATGCAAGAGACTGCAGAGACCACCATAACCCTGAACTCAGCTCAAAAGAGACCAAAAGTAATACCTACCACTAATGTAAAGGCTGGTTTGTTCTGCAGTGTGAATGACTGGAGGAGTAAATCATCTTGTGAGAAAACTGTCCCCTAGATTGCAGGTGTAGAAAGAAACAGGGGCTGGTGTTTCTAACTACTGCAGCAGCAGTAACAATTAGCAGTGAATATTTATATCATTGCTTAGATCATCTGTCCCTAACACTAGTAGAAGTTTTAGCAAGCTAGCAAAAGTAAGTAAAGCTAGGGGACCTACAGGTAGATAATTAAATCCCCATGTTTCCCACTAAGGTAGATGCAGTGAGAACAAATACACCTCACATAACCAGAACGTGTAAGCATCTTCTTTTTTTTTCTAACAAGTTCTTATCTCAAAACAGCAATCAACTGTATCCCTCAGTGCCACAACTACACGACTCTTGAAGACCTCCAGGGATGGTGAATCCACCACCTGTCTGGGCAGCCTGTGCCAGTGCTAGACCACGCTTTCTGTGAAGAAATATTTCCTAATATCCAACCTAAACCTCCCCTGGAGCAACTTGAAGCAGTTTCTTCTCATTCTGTATCTATTACCAAGGAGAAGAGGCTGACTCCTATCTCACCTATCTCTTTTCAGAGAATTGTAGAGAACAATAATGTCTCCCCTCGGTCTCCTCTTCTCCAGACCAAACAGTCCCAGTTCCATCAGCCGTTCCCATAAGACTTGTGTTCCAGACCCATCATTATCTTTGCTGCTCTTCTCTGAACAAACTCTAGGACCTCGATATCTTTCATGCAGTGAGATGCCTAAAACTGAACACAGCACTCAAGGTGTGGCCTCAGGTGCATTTACTCAGGAAATAATTAACAAGACCTCATCAAATAGTTCTGATGCAGCACATTTCTGCTAATAGAATGAAGACGACAGGTGGTTTGAACCAGGCCTTGCTTAACTTGCCGCTAATTAAAGTCATCCCTATTTCTTGCAGAGATCTTTTTCAAAAGTTTAAGATGCTAAGGATGGCCAGAGCACCTTCGCTCAAGAAGTCATAGAGGACAGTGGAAGCCAGGAGTCCAACAGGAAAGCAGAGGGATTCAGTGGGCCTTTGGTTCAGCCTAAGATCATCAAGTCATAAATAAGCTTTTGCAAAACAACTTACAGATTTCTCTTCTTTACTCTCACTCAGACATTTGCTTACTCAGTGTTTACTTATGCTCCTGTATCATGTGTAATTGAGGAATGGCTGCAGTTAAAGCACATAATATGGATTAATTTGGAGCAAAACAAATACCAGCTGAGTGCTACCGAGCAGACATAAACAAGAAACTCACAAAGGGTGTCAGACTACGTGATCAGTGTCAACACCTCTCAAGCTGGGCACGAGTCAACATTTGGATGAGGATCTGATCCCATGTAATTCTATTTTGTTCTCCAAATACATTCTTTGTATTTACTTTTACATAGACACTCAGCTACTCCTGACTGTAACTGTTGCTCACTGCTCTGAAGGAAGAATACGAAATGTACAGACACCTGATTCTGTCACATTAGCCTAGCTGTAGTTTTATATGCTGAATTATCAAAGGAGCCCTGCATGATCAAAGCAATGCAGTATCATCAGTTGAAACAGCCAGCAGATGTCCTTGAGCTGTAAAAATCAGCCGTGTTTGCTCAAAACTCTTTCTTTAAGTAGCATGAGCAAAAGACTGCAAGTGGGGCTTGCACAACTCCAGAAGGGATAGAGTAGTCTTCATCTTTTGGCTGTTGAGAGGAAGATGTTAACCCCATAAGCAGAAAAGCTGACCCAACACTCATGGTTGAAGTGTGGAACACAGAGATTAAAAGCTCAACAACTCACCTTGTCTCAAGCTTTGCTGGACCTCAGGAAAATTGTTTAGGGTAGAATTATTGACCAAGGTGATTTAGTAGCTTACTGTTTATAACAGTTTCACCTATTACGTTAGTATAATCATAACAGTAGTGTAGACAAAGGTCAATAGAGACTTCTTTCTTCTTCCTTTTTTTTTAATTTTATTTTTGGTAGCTAAGCTACATCTTTACTCCTTAATGAATGTTAATTAGAAGTGCAAAAGCACATGTCTCTGAAAACATTTCCTTCTTCCTTAAGTGATAGCAGCTCTTCCCTGTTTCATTGATGGATTCTGGGTGAATATGTTAACACCCGATAAAATCTTTGAATGCAGCTGTACAAAGATATGGGTTAGATGTCAGGAAACATGCCTTCTCAGGAGTGGTGAGGCAGTGGCACGGGCTGCCCAGGAAGGTGGTGGAGTCACTGTTCCTGGAGGTGTTCAAGAACCGTATAGATGTGGCACAGAGGGATGTGGTTAGTGTGCATATGGTGGTAATGGGCTGGTGTTTGGACTAGACACTCTTGGTGGTCTTTTCCAACCTTAATGTTTCCATGATTCTTAGGATAAATGCAGAAAACAATACATTCCAGTGGTGTCAGATACAAGTGTATCTGACGGATACATCATACTGCTGTAATATTTCAAGATACAGGCAAAGCTGTTACAGAGTGTATTTCAGATTTTCAGAGCAAGCTTATTTACACCAACTTCTTTATCTTCATACAAAGGCCTCATTGCTGTTATACCACAGACTTACGCACAAGAAATTGTTTTAGGTGAGAGAAAAACCAACTACAGCCAAAAGCCACATGGCTGACCAACGTCTCTGCCATTATTCTTCCAAAAGGTCCCTCTTTGTATTCTACCAGCGTTTCAAGAACACTAAATCAAAGCAGATCTCAGAACAGCTCTTGTAAGGAAGATTATCACTAAGAAATTAAGTTTTTTGTGAAACAGTGTATTTTCTATTGCATGGTATTATTACGATTAAAAGCTCCATCTATTATTTATTTATAACTAAATGTTATCAGTTACTCATGAGATTATGATGTTGGTGCCCACTTACCTCTGAGCCTGAAGTATTTCAGATGGTTGGCAATAGCCTGTTCAACAGATTCATCAGGGCAGATCTTAACTCCACTGGGAAACAGAATGGAGCGCTTCCTTCGGCGCAGCAAATGCCTATTGACTTGCTCAGCCTCCACAATGCCATGGAGATTTCTCAGTTCAGGAGGCAGAGAGGGGCTTGCAAACTGCCAGACACTGAGCTGAGGGGTTGGTGAAGCATCTTTAGCCTGCTTTTCTTCTGCTGTAAAATTGAAACCGTGTGTAAATTTCTCAGATGAGGTAGAGATGCGGTCATGCATGTCTCAACACCATTGCTCTGGTCTGTGGAGGACCTAACTGTTCTTTTTTTTTTTTTTTTTTTCTGTTAACAAGCTTAAACATGTCAGTGTGACTTTCCTATTACAAACAAACTCAACCTCTTTTACAGCATGTTATCTGACCTCATGAATGCTAATGTTTTGTATTTAACGTCTCTTCTGAGATTCAGCTTAAGTCAGTGGGACTATACATGTCAATAATTATGTGCTCGAAATTTTCAAGGCCACAAATGGAAAGTTTAATTAGTTAAAGTGCCTTTATTCCATACACTCTATCCACATTTATGTCCCACGCTTTAAGAAATCTGCGTGAATCGGCAACTAGCAACTTTCTCTTCTATCACCACAAGAACTGGTTCCAACCTGACAGGAGGAGGGGAAGTAAGAGAAAAAAAAAGGGACATCTCAGCTTTAGCTTATTGCTTCCTTTTTTTTTAAAAAAAAAAAAAGAAGTTTTCTCTGAGTTGTTCCACATCCCTCCAGAAAAAACAAACAAACAAAAAACACCACCTTACAGCTAAGGGGAAAATGCATCTATTTGGTTTTAGTCTGACTGTCATTCTCTAACTTTGACAGGCAGCTTATCTGAAATTAGTTAATTCAGTCTTTTTCTTTCACTGTTTCCCCAGAAAACAATTGAAGAAGAATCAAAATGAATAACTAATTACTGAAAGAATAGTAATTGCTTTATGGAATTTTTTGCCCCACAGATTGTAAATTTAGTGTGAAACTTTAAAGTCAATAGCATTTCTGACTTTGATGACTGAAGGATAAAGATCATGGCTATTTTAATGGTACACTAATAATAGCTCTAGAGCAGAAGGCCACCTGTAGATGATATATTGGAGGGAGAAGGGAACAAATAAGGTCACTGAGGCAAAACACCGATCTTTACCCAAACTGACACATTTTCATTGACCAAATGGAGGCCGTATATTTTGTTATCTAATACAAATTTACTAAAGAAAAAAAGCATCATGTGGAAAAGCTTGCTGATCAGTATTTGATGTCTTTTAAAGTTGGAAAACCTTTGCACCCCATGCCTACATTCTACTTTTAAAACAACAGCAAATCTTTCTCGTAAATCACTCCATATTTAAAACACTGGTATCACAACACAGATTTGACCAAATGTTTCTTTGTATTAGCCTCCTTCATTTTAATTAAGGCAGAGAGGCATTTTTTTTCTACATACCATTATAGGCAAAACCCAGAAAACAAGAATGTAAAGAAGAAAGATATCTGCATTACCTGCTTGAAGGTCTCCTGTAATCACTTCTGAAACCAAGAGGCAGAGAGAGATTTTCCAAAGGAAAGCAAACATTTTATTCGTGTCCAAAAGCCAATAGGCAAGAAAAAAAGAAAATCCTTTTCAGCAAAAGAGCCGTTGCCTTTAACGTATCCTTGAGCCAAGCAAGAGCATTGCCCTTCTTGAAAACGTCTTGACGTCCCGCAAAGTTATCTTTGGAAGAAAAAACATCAGGTTAAAAAAGTCAAACAAGACATCCTGGAAATTATCTTTTCAAAGAGAGTATTCCACTCCAATGAAGAAACAAGGAAAGGTGACGAAGTAAACGCCTCAGAGCTGGCAGATGGACTGAGACAATTTTTTAATTTTAATCTGGCCAGCTAAGCTCTTTACTGGAGCTTGTCATACCATTAACAGACAGTCCAAACAAGGACACACCTTTCACACTTAATTAACCACGTATTTTCACAGGCTCTTCAATTTCTGTCTGTTTTTAAAAGTCATACTGACCACAGTATCAGTGCGTGCACACTACTCTCCAGTGGAAGGTCTCCATGAGCTTTGCTTTCTTCCTGTACTCATGTATGTACCTAAGAATGCACTGACTTGCTTGTAGCACTGATGAGCACAGAGATAAGAGTGAAACAGTCATTCTGTGGGTGTCATGCTGGTGACAGAGGCAAGGTCCTGCTGCTCGAGTCTGAGCTAAAGCAGAAGATCTGCTGCCATACTACTGCCCTTCACATCCCAGGATAAAACCTGGGCAAATGGCGATTCTTTCATCTCTGCTCAGACGTAATCTGAGATGAGCATTAAGAACAGATTTGTGCTGATAACTGGAGAAACGGTGGGTTAAGGTGAGCTGTGTAAAGGACAGAGAGTGCAGGAAAACAGCAGCACTCTTAGCTCCCCTCCTCTCCAGGGGTCAGCTCAGTAAAGAGACGTGTATGGAAGCCAGCCCGCAATGGCAGGCAGAGGTCAGACCACAAGAAAAACCGTCTTGGGGCTGCCTAATAGGTGGCACTGCTCAGGACTTGCTGCTCACTGCTTTGATCATCCCAGATATTATAAACAGGACACTCACGGGAATCAAAGAAAACCACCCTTTATTCATTCTGTCTTCTGACACGTAACAGACTCCAGTTGGTATTTTCAAAACAACAAATGCTTCTCTTTTTTCCTTTTTTTTTTTTTTTTTTTTCCCCCACAAAACTGCTGAACTGCACTTTAAATTAAACCGCTGAGCTGTTCTGACAGCCTCCCAGACACTTTGGATCTCTCAGACCAGCGCTCGTCATCTCAGCTGGCTCTGTCAAGGTAACTACACAGCTGGCGGCAGCAAGTGAGCCATGCAGCACTCTGAAGCTGCATCTTGAACAGCCTTGGGGAGCTGACGCACACCTATTGAGCACCTCTAGGCAAAGAGAATGACTTTTGAGGCCAGTTTGGGTGCCTATACTACGATGCTAGATTCAGAAACACAGACCAGATTTTTTTCATCCTCTGCAGACACAAGAGCTTTCACTGCCATGAATGCCTTCCTTCCATTAACCTGCAAAAATGCAAACAAATAGTGACAAGAAACAGTATACAAACCTACAAAGGCAAAGGTTCTTTCACCTCAAGAATGCAGTAGAACTTAGAGAAAATTCTCAGAATGCATGAGCGTAAGGGTATGAAATCCAATAAAAAGCTTTCCTGAGAAGTTTTCTTATTTTCTGTATTATTATGCATTAAGCAAGGCCCGAGGCTCTTTGCTTTCCAGTGTATCAGCCCAGGACAGCCTATCATTCTGCCACTTCTTCCATCATGTAGTACTGTAAAGCACTTGGACCAGAAGCATCATAGAGACTGATCAAATTAATGACACTTTATTATTTGCTCTGTCTATAATGTGTAATGTGAATATATTCCTCCTTTTCTGAACTGTTCCTCAGGTGACTACATCTTACCTTGTTCAACAGTAAAAGACTACCCTGGTGCCTATGCTTCATCTTTGAACAGAGTTTCCGATTCCAGTTAGAATGGACAGATTTATTGCCACTGGTCTTGGTTTTATTTAATCATTAATGGAAGAATTTTCTGTCCTTTCAAGATCTTCCATGTTTCATTCCACAATCCTCGCTTTTTAAAGCTAGAAACCTAAGAGACCTTTTTCTTCAGAAGAAATTGCAGGAAGTAATTTTGCAATTCCTTGTCACAGTCCAGAGAGCTATCACTTTGACTTTTGAGTCTTCGCTATTTTGTAAGGTATGGTAATTACTGAGTATTGCAACCTCATTTCAGGGTTACATCCTAGGATGTGTGTCCCAAAAAGAAGAGAGAGATCACTGTGAAGCTGTGTCTGCCAGAGATCAATCACAGACGACCACAGATAATTTTTAAAGCACACTCACTTTGTCACGGTTCATTACTCTGGTGTTTGATTTAAAAAAAATGGTTTTAATCTTTTTTCTTGGAAGATTTAACTCCTACAAGTTATTTATCTTGTTTCTTGTTTGTCAACAGTACTCTGCACCAACCTCCATGACTCAGATTTCCTTACGGAAGCCAGTTTCAAGTCCCACAGAGCCAGAACGTATCAGTTTCTTTCACGTTTAGCACGTCGTAAGTACAATTCTATGCCTTGATACCAAATTGCAGAATGCAGGTTAAAGGGCCTTATGAAGATTGGTTCGCTTTGATGCAAAACATCACTCCACCATTTAAGTTAAACAGGGATTGATAAGGGAAATGGAGATGCAGAAGATACACAGAAAGATCCCTGAGCCAGTCTGATAACCCTATATAGAAGAATGCTACTATAAGTTATCTCTGGAGAGTTTATTTTATACATATATATATGTATATGTATGTAAATAGGTAGATAGGTAGATAGATAAGGAGCATAACTTAATCCACAAACATTTCCTAGCATTCACCATATGTGTTACATGCATATGGCTGGAATAGGGGGACTGCAGCTGCTTGACCCAGGAATTTCCCAGGCTGGTCATTCAGGTTATCAACACTGTTAAGCCTAACTAGAGAAAGCTATAAGGTTGCTGATTCAAAAAGTAGTCTTCCTTGCCCCAAGAAGCTACAGTCTAGCTGCATGCTTTTTTAAGGACCGAAGAACAATTAATTGCTTTGACCAAAAATTGAGTTAGAATAGACATACTGAGGACATACCTTACATGCTGTAAGATGGATTATCTCATATTTAGCTCGCTGGTTCTTTGTGGCAGAAGCAAAAAGAATGGTGACAATCACGTTTGGTAACTTCTGGAGGTTTTTATTATCAAATGTATCGGCATCCCCATAGCACATTGTTAACATTAGCCTACAAAGTCAATCCTTTGCTGTTATAAAACCAATTTAGAAAAGTTTATACATATCTTTTACTTTTAAATATCTACGTATAAACCAGTTAATCTAAAAGAGAATAAATATTGTTTTATGATATAAACCAATTTTAATGTAAGAAAAAGTCTGAAGTATTCTTAATAAAGGAACACTGAAAATATTTCATCCATTAAAAAGGTGTGGAGAAAAAGCACACATTTCTGCATTTTATAATTTTATCTCTTACAATAAATACAAAGATTATCCCTGGGAGTGAGAAATGGTGGTGATGAGGTTTGTGGGATAAAAGTCATACAAATTTCTGTGACGAGAGTGACAGACATTGGTGGGAGTCGTGATAAACTACTGAGCTGAACTAGAAATGAAAAAAAAAAAACAAAAAATCAAGACCAGTGCACTAGGCTGCCCACAGTTACACAAAAAGTAACTGCGCTCAGCAAATTATGTTCTGAAATTGTTTCTGCTCTTCAGAAAGAATGCTTCCTGGTTTGAGAAACAACACTGTTTTTTGTCAGGTTTTTCTGGATGACTGCGTAGAACCTGCAGTAATGACTGGATTTTCCAAATGCAAAGGTGTCAGAGTTGCCTTGAGGAAAGGGGCCCTGAGAATTCTGCCACGCTACAAATTTGTCCACATCTTTGGGATGCCCTCAATTTTTACTTGGATTTTTTAGCCTACCTCCTTTGAGACCTCTGGTTTTGCAGATATACTTACTATACAAATGGCTTTGGTGGTTATCTGCAACACGGTTCTTCTGGGAGTACTGTGACATTTAAGTAACTTACTGTGGGTAATAGGAGAAAGCCACCATCAAAACTCAAAACAGCCACCATCTATCATGTAACAACCACAGGAAAAAGTGTGTGCATACCAAAACGTTATTAAAGTTTTCCACAACTGTCTGATAAAAACTAAATAAATATGCATACAGACCATGATAAACTTGCGCTAGTTTATCAAATCAAGTCCTGAGTTCAAACACTCAAATATTTGGGCGCCTTTACTCAATTCTCCCAAGAAAAGTATAAATTCTGTATGTCTTATATAGAAGCAACATGTCTTAAAGACATATTACATATAGCCACATCCTTTCTAAATGAAAACATGCGTATTTCTCAAATATCTCAATCTTATTGAGCCACAACCGACTTGCTTTTCTAATGCAAACGGTGCCTTTAAGACTCACAGGAGTAACTCCCAAAAATAAACTAATTAGGAGAAAAATCTATTGCCTACATATACTGTACCAGCATGTATTTTGAGAGCAAGATTTCTAAAATCTGACAAGAAAAGAGTTATCATAAAGGACATTCAGAAGAGCCCACTTCTGACTTCAAAAGATTTCAAGATTCACTGTCAAGCAAATAAATTTTTATGATGGAAATGTAGGGAGGAAAACAATTAAAACCCAGAAGTGTCAAATCCCAGCAGAATATTCTGATAAATGCAAACTATTTCTGTATATTATCAGAAACAAAACAGAACAACAGCAACAAAAAATCTCTAAAGAGAATCAATATTATATCCTTAAATTAAAACAATACATAGTATTCATTCTATCTGCATGAACTGCAGAGTAGAAAGAGACACAGTAAAAGCTCAAAAACCCATCTTTGGGCCTGACTCCTATGTGCTCATCCAACTCTGTAAAGTTTATATAGAATTGTAAAGAACAGGCTCCAAAAGATCAAAATATTTTTACATCTTTGTTGCACATACCTGTACACATTTTCATATTCCAAGTTAAAAAAATTAGCAAGTCACATGCATTAGCTGTAACTTACATATTTACACTTATCTACAACCCTCCCCCCTCTAGTGGCATTCTATCATCAATGAACCCTAAGTAAAATAATTGTTTACATAAATACATGATGAACAAACAAAAAAAACATTTTTTTTCTTTCTTGCAAGGGAGGCAGAGCCAAAATGCTGCGAAGCAGAGTTCCAGGTACTTTATACCTATATAGAGAGATAGATCTCTGCCAGTTCTGGTAGATAGGATTTATTAGCTTCTGCTGCCTCTGAGCTGTTGAAAGTGCAATTGCAAGATCAGGTCTTGGATTTCTTCTCTTTTGCTTCTAATCAGCTGACGAGGAAACCACTTCTCCAGATGCACTGGCTGTTCAAAGTCAACTATGGGATTCTGGTAAAAAGAGAAAGAAATAAAAACAAGAATATTTGCAGCATGAATTTCCCATTACAACCTCCAAAAAGAATTCCAAAGCCTTCCATACTGCTGAGACCTAGCATGCATAAATAAGTTATCACGAGATATAGTTGTCAAGATATAAGTTAAATTCCAGTTCCTCCACTATAATTACAGTCATACGTAACATGAGCTACTAAACAAAAAACAGATTATCACCACTTCCTCTTAAAGATACTTTAATATAAGCTCATATTCAATGCTGATTCTACATACTCTCAATGCAGTTAGACATGTTCTTGATATTTAACAGGAAGCAGGTGCACTTCAGTCAAAAAACGCACATGTAGGATCACACTATGTGGAATGATTAAGCATACTGCAGTCAAGCAAGCAAATCTTAGGCACGTTTTTTATTGTCATGAGCTGGCCTGTCTGACAGAAGAAAACAAAGAAACAAGAGTATTGCCAGCAATTCTAGTAGGACATAGAGATGGGAGAATTTGGACAAAAGAGGAAGTCAAATTCAAATGGCTGAGATATTGCTAGCTCTGGCAACAAGATCACAACACTACCTATTAACTGCCAAAGTTTTTTTTTTCTTCCTCCCCTCATCGTTCTTTTGCCATGCCTATTTTTCACCTTCCCCTTCCTGTGAATAAAGAGTCATGGTAAATTCAAAAAAGCAAAGTCAGAATGGCCTGTGAGTCCTGGTATGTTTAGCACAAACAAAAAAATACCTCATCCTGACCTTGCTTCCATATTGTTAGAGAATGGGCAATTCAGAACGCTGGTAAAAAAAAAAAAAGAAAAATAAATAAATTCATCTTCTACCTACCTATCACAAAATCACTGAATGGATGAGGCTGGAAGGGACTTCTGGAGGTCACCTAGTCCAAACCCCCTACTTAAGGAAGGCCAAATAGAGCAGATAGCCCACAGCCCACATTAGATCTTTCACTCTAACCTGATGAGACATGGATATGATAGATGGAACACTTGGTGAATAAAGAATTGGCTGAGTAGCTGCATTCAAAGAGTTGTGGTCAACAGCTCACTGTCCAAGTGGAGACAAGCAATAAGTGGTGTTCTTCAAGAGTTGGTACTGGGACTGATATTATTTAACATTTTTGTCAGTGATGTGGACAGTGGGATTTAGTGCACCCTCAGGAATTTTGCAGATGACACCAAGCTGAGAAGTGCCGTGGGATGTTGGAGGGACAATGCCATCAAGAGGGACTCCAACAGGCTCAAGAGGTGGGTCCATGCAAACAAACTGTCATTCAACTAGGCTAGGTGCAAGGTCATTCACATGATTGCACACTGGGCGACGAGTGGACAGAGGGCAGCCTTTTGCTGAACTTAAGAGTACCAGGGGATGAAAAGCTTGACGTGAACTGATAACAGGAAGTTGCAGCTCAGAAAACAAACCATACCTGGATTGCAAAAGAAAGCTAGATAGCAGATCAGAGGAGGCGATTCTCTCCCTCTACTCAGCTCTCATGAGATCCCACCTGAAGAACTGTGCTCAGTCCTGGGCCCACAACTTAAGAAAGGCACAGAGCTGCTAGAGCAGGTCATGAGGAAGATCAAGAAGATGATATTTAGAAGTATGTACTGAACATGTAAGAGAGATTCCCTAAGCTTTGTGCATTGTCTCTTAAGGATCCTACTTCCATCTCTTTGCAGAACCTGCTGCCTGCACAGACAGTGACATTCAAAGGCCAAAGGAAAAGCTGAACAAAGTCTGAAAGGCAACAAGAAGTGAGGACCTGCACAGAAAACACGTCTTTGTACCATCAGTAGGTCAGAAAAGCATAAACTACATAGGATCCAAAGGTATCCTTACAGCTGCAGACCTTGAATGTGTTAATAAATGCAATATTAAACCACAAGGTTAGAAATGCCTGCATAAGAAACCCAGAGAAATCATCTGTGTTCCAGACACAAAGACCTCCTGACACAACACAAAGAACAGATTTTATGTTCTCTTCCTCAAATACCTTAGACAATGTTAGACACTAAGCAACACAGGTTTTCTGTCTGGATATTTCTCTCAGAAACAGCAGTTTATGGTTTGAGGTGATTTTGAGGATGTGAGAATCCTTCTTTGTTTTTTGGCTCAAAGCTTGCTTCCTGAGGTATTTCTTGTGATAAGACTCTGAGTGATTTGTTGATGAGGCAACTAATGGGTGCTAACGTGTGACAATCGATATCGCTTTGGGAACATTTGAAAGCCCCTTCCTTCAGAGCTGCTTGCTCTGTAGAAGAGCAGATGAGAGTGCTCAGGAGTGTTTACTGGCGGAAGATCTGGCCTGCAATTAAACAGCTCCAGCTAGGTATGGGAAAATTGGGGAACGATACCATCATGTTCTGTGAGAAACAGGATGCAGATGGGCACCCCTGCTCCCTCTTATCTGCTGGCAAGGCCCGGAAGATGGGAACAAAGGAGTTTCTGCTGAGATCCCAAAGCCAGAAGCTGCCACTCAAAGGAGAGCTGACTCAACCACTTTGGATTTGAGCTGTCACTCCAAAGACAGCTGACTCGACCACTCTGAAACTATTGAAAAGGGGCCATCATTGCCATGGTCGTCGTTGTCGTCAATAGAACAACGATGCCCGACGACCCTCCACTACCGAGGATCAAAGACGGAACTACGAATCTCGCTGGATCCATGGTGGTGACTATGTCCCTCTTGCTGCCTATAAAGACTCCTTGCTTCTTCTTTTCTATCTTTTCTATCGCCCTCCTTCACTTCCCCATTACCCTAATCATAATAGTGTCCGTCCTCCCCTTCCTCATTTCCCTGATTAAGATTTGTAATAAACTGGTCGGACCAACATTTGAACCGTTGCTTCTTAATCTCACGCCAGGTATATAGATAATAAAAGAACCTCCTCTCCCTCCTATAAAATGGAGCGAGATGTTGTACGTTGTATCACCTATGTAGTTTGTAACCTGCTCTACTGATGGGGAAGTGAAGCACATCAGGGCCCAGCCTAAGAAATCTTTTGTAATGATTATATTATATATTTGATTCCTTGCCCCCTTCCCTCCTTTACCTTTATGCATGCTATCCTTTTCTCACCATCGTGGATCATCTGTGTCCCATTTTAAAGCAACCTTTGAGTCACGGGGTGGTGTAAGACATAACTCTGTTAACGTCTGAGTCTCAAAGCTTGCTGGGGACACAGTTGGACTTGTTCAAGTCCCGAGCAAGGATTGTGAAATCCTTTGTCTGAAGGACACACATGAACAAGTCCAGGCAAGTCCTGGGCAAAGGTTGTGAGATCCTTTGTCTGGGGGACTCAGATGGACGAGGCCAGGGGCAACAAGCACGAGATGAACTGCCGCTGAATAGCTGTGAAGTGCTCCTTTGCGTGGACTTATCTCAGGATGATGGCCATCTCAGCGGGTACTCAATGACTCTTGCTCAAGGCCCATCCTTTGCCACGTAAGCAGGAGAACAAGGAGGATAAAAGAGGAACTGAAAACCATGAGGATAGGATTTCTGACAACAGATTCCTCATGAAGAAGAACAGAGGTTTTTGGCAGCAGATTCCTCATGAAGAACAACGGAGGTTTCTGGCAGCAGATCCCTCCTAAAGAAGAAGAGGGATTCCTGATGATCAGATTCCTCGTGAGGTGACTCCTGCATACTGTCAAACTCTCCAGTGCTTGCTGCCTGAGCGCTGCTGCTGCTTCAAGGATTGGCTCCTCGACTTCTTCGTCTACCTGCTTGCTGCCCAAGGCCGGCCTCGCTGCTGCTCCTCGTCCCCCTGCTGCCTGGGACCTTCAAACGCCGTGCAACGGGACCGCTGCTGGATCCTGCTGGTGACTATCCCCGCTTTACACAACTCCTGCTTCTTTTCCATCTTTTCTATTGCCCTCCTTCCCTTCCCCGTCTCCCTGATTAGGTTTGGTAATAAACTGGATGCAACAACATATGACATATTCTTAATCTCACACTGGGTATATAGATATTAAAAGAACCTCATCTCCCTCCTATAAATTGGAGCGAGACAGGGGAATAGGAAAAGCAGATTCTTTTAGTACCTGGAAGAAGCTTTCCACATATTGTAGCAAATACACCCCACAGTCGCTACTGTTATCTTGCTTAGGCACTCTTGGATAAAAGTCAACCATTGTTGATTTACTGAATTCACGATGTGTTTTTCGTTTAGCTTCCCATTCTACTTCAAGATACCTATAAAAGAAAGCAAATAGATTAATATTTAAGAAATAAACCGAATATCTCTCAAGCTCAATGCGTTTTTAGATGCTTCTCAATATTGTTCTGTAGCTGGACAAAATGTTAAGATAGCCTTAACCAATTTATTTCACAGAATCTGTAAAATAAGTTCATACAAATAACAAAATTCCCACTACCAATTTTCTACCTTACACAGATTCAGTTCCATCATATAATATACAATAAGCAAAGTGGAAAAGATGTGTGAAATTATTTAAAAATAATAATCATTATCATTGTCTGCATTGAGTTTATTCAAGCTATTAGGATACTAGGTCATTTTTAAATCTGAGCTCCAGGAGGAATTCAAGTGATATTTCCCAGATTTTATTGTGTTCATCCAAAAAAGCCAACAGTGCTTTTCTACCTTAAAAAAATTAGAATTTGAAAAATTTAGAAAGCTACTAAAGTTCAACTTTAAAGTTCATTTTTTGAACTTCAGCTGTAATTACACCATTATAACCCTTGCAGCCCATTAGGGTATAAAGCATTGGAAAACCTGTTAAAAAACTTAAAGGATCATTTCTTTAATGATTACGACTTACTTGTTATCAGTTTTTTTTTATTGTTCTCTTGCTTCAGTAGCAACTCACTGATTTCACTTTCTGAACCGACTACTGATTTTGAACATGGGATTGAAAGCACAAGTGTCTCACAAGGTCAGATTCAGATCTTTAAGCAAGGTCAGGCTACATAGGAAAATTACAAAGCTGCAGCTTGCATTTGCAGTAAGAAAACATGAAAGGCTAAAGTTCAACCAGAGTTAAATTTGGCCAATAATGTTTCAGATAACAAAAATAATCCTTTCAATGGTATGCTAATAGCAAGAAAAATACTAAGGAAAATATTGGAATGTTACTGGCTAGGCATTTGACAAACAGAGATAATGAAAAAGGCAGAGGCATTGAATATTTTGATAGCCTTGGTCTTTAATAATTACAGGCTTTTCGTTGCCCAGTCCTGTAAGCTGGGGGAGCAGTGACTATTTGCTGATATTAAAACTGTAATGAACCATGACTCCTCTCAACTATCTATCAAAGATCTTGGCAGTCTGGAGAGGTCTCTTCTGACTGGAAACTAGCCAATATTGTTCCAGTTTACAAGAAGGGTAAAAGAGAAGACACTGGAAATCACAAACCCATTAGTTTAACTTCAGTAACTGAAAAAATTATTGAAAAGATTATCCTGTGTGTCACCAAAAGGCATTCAAAAATAACACAGTCATCAAGTCCCATCAACACAGATGGGACACAAAAAAATTCCATCTCACTGATTTGATATTGTTTTATGACAAGATCACACACTCGTGGAACAAAGGAAAGGTAATAGATGGATTTTTTTCTGGATTTTGCTAAGGCTATGCCTTTCTGTTGACTTCAGTTATGGTTGCAAACACTGAACATTTCTGGAAAATAAATGTCTGACTTCAGGGAGTAAAAAAATACTACACACACTAAGTCAGACCTCAGTTTGATTTCCACAAGGCCTCGTAATTCTGACAATAAAAATACATATAAAACACTCAAAACATTCTGAAAAAAATGGCACCTGTGAATAGTAACCAAACATAAAACAGAATTCAAAGACAGAGCGTTCAGTGAGGCACATGTCATAAGTACTAGAAAAGGACTTATGACTGTAGGCTTTAATTTATTTGGGTCTAAACAATACTCGAAGCATAGTGAAAATGAACTTAGGGAAAAATAAACTAAGACAAGGAGGTTTAGGTTAGATATTAGGAGGAAGTTTTTCACACAGAGGTGGTGACGCACTGAACAGGTTGCCCAAGGAGGCTGTGGATGCCCCATCCCTGGAGGCATTCAAGGCCAGGCTGGATGTGGCTCTGGGCAGCCTGGGCTGCTGGTTGGCGACCCTGCACATAGCAGGAGGTTGAAACCAGATGATCATTGTGGTCCTTTTCAACCCAGGTCATTCTACGATTCTATCAAAGAATAAGTTATGAAACCTTTGTATCAGTTTTCTTTAAATTTCTGCTTTCATTGTGTAACTGCAAATTGAAGTTATGATGTCTGCTTCCCCAAGTTCACACCTCAGTAAATCATCTCTTTTTTTTCCTGACTTCTTGTGACACCTCTGTGACTGAACACCAAGAAATCTCACTCTGGAATTTTATCTCTGGGAGTAGCCCAAAGCATAAATCTCTACATCACCTACATTAAACAGAGATTTAAAAATTAAAAATGCTATTTCATTCTTCCCCAAAAAACATGGTCGCTCTCTAGGGAATAGATACTGTCAAAAAATTAACTGATTTCCATTTACACCCACTGCAGTTTTATGAAGGATTTACTTCTACAAGAAAGATCTTTTCTGAGTAGTACCTGGTTTACAGATTTTTGCTTCTTTCAGTGAAGTGAATACAACAGAGTACAAAAAGATCGATTCTGTTTATCTTCAAAGAATGAATATTAGCAACTTTTTAAAAATGTTGTGATAGCTATTTAAGTCATTAGGAGTACATGAAAGAACTGTAAATTTCATGAACTCTTCCAATACTTGCATACTTTTCACATAAAAGACTGAATATATTTTTTACTCTCACTTTTCAAAATAGATAATACCACCCTGATATTAGTATCCTGACACATGACACTTGTAGACAGCATCAGTGTAGTTTGTATTTTTTTGTACATACTTAGCTGTGGATTTAAGACAGGAATTCTGAAAGCTCCATTAAAAAAATGAAGGTCAGTCCATTGGAAAATGTATCATTTAAACTTTGAAATGTTCATTTAAAATACCTTACTAGTATTACTTATTTTGAACTTTAGAAGGAAGTCAATTCACCATCCAGTTCACAATTTTCATGTTACATTTAGGCTGCAAAACAAAGACATGCTTCTCGCACAAACCTCTGTACTGCTGTTACAATAATGGTTGTGGCTGCTTATGAGTAATCCTTTTGCAACAGAGAGGTACATCTTCATAGAGAAAAGTATTTTAAGCATAGAAATATAACCAGCAGCATCTCTTTCTAATAAATGGAAACTATTGTCACTTACTCTCTCAAAACCTGAACTGTCTTCTGCACAGAACCAGCCTTCAAAGAATCTAAGATCAGTATACAGGGCCTGCAGACAACAACAAAGTCATTTCATTAGCAACACTACCAAAGCAATTTTTTTTTTTTTTTAATATAGCTTAACAAGAGCATTATTAACCAAACAAATGTGCAAGAAAACAGACAAGTCCCTACAGCTGTAGGTGTACAACAACAAATAGCTGAATCAATCATCATGGAATTTTTTAATAAGATCTTTAATGATACAAACATTAACACAAAAATAGAAACATACCTTTTACAAATTTGCCTCTTGGAATTATTTAGGGAGATCTGGAGAAGAGAAAATAAAATTAACCTTACAAGAAGTACAAGTATGAAAACAAAAGTCTTTACAGATTAAAAGCCAGAGCCTTCCCTTTCAGAAACAGAGAACTATATGAAATCTTTTAAAAGGTGAAACAATAGCATAAGCAATGTAAACAGGCAAAGGAGGACTTCAGACTAATTCAAAGTGCCTTGCATAGGATGCAGACCACATAAATAATGACAGCTGCTGCAAAAAGATGACAAAATCATTTGCATGGAAATAAAGTAATACATTTCATCTTTCAGTACAGCAAGGCACTTACTTTAGAAATACCTGAATCCAGGACTGAGGCAGAATCAGCGGATTCGTTGCCACCTAGTACAAAAGAACAAATGTAGTAAGTATTAAAAAAAAAAAGTTCCTTAAAGTGAGACATTTCCATTTTCAAATTAACGATTATGAGCACTCAAAAATAAATAAATTTTGCTTCTCTTCTAAATAGTCAAATAGCAGATTTAGAGGGCTTCCCACCCTGATAATATTCTTAATGAAATCCAAGAAATTTCACTCATGATGGGAAATAAGTCACTGCTTTACCTCTCTTCCACTATTTTCCAGAGTTTCTGGAAAAAAGGAATGCAGTGTAGCCCTTGCTATGCATAGTAACACAAAAACATACTACAACTTAAGATAAGAAATAGCTTTTCAGACATTATTTCTCTCCTTTGAGGATTAATAAACTATCAGAATTGTACATGAACTGATAATTTTCTTTTAGGTTACCTACCTTTGGAGGAAAAAAATCTGTTTGCATCCATTTCTTCTTCAGGATAGGGCAACGCTGAACCAATTACAGAGTCCTCACTCTTGTTCTCTGACTGAAGTGGAGATAGATTAAATGAATTCTGATGAGGACAGTCTTCATACACAGTTTCTTCTAACCAAGGAAAACAGATAACTGCAATGTACCAATGAGACCTGCCCAACAGTGAGGAGAAAGGGAGGAAAAATGTCAAAATTTTGTAACATTTGGTTCTGATAAGCTTTTATAACATTGAGAGCTTGTGGACAACCAATCTATTACACATAACTGCTGTTGCAATGTTCTTTCATGGCATCACACATAAACCCTCTGACTCACTTTTTTCTTTACGTTATGGCATAACTGCAGAAATAAGTATAAATTCCTTCCACAGCAATTTATAGCTCTCACCACCCACCCCACTAGTATAGTAATAAAATAATTGGTGACAGTGATCCCAGCTTTGAATACAGTTACAAGTTAAACATGGCTCTGCCTTTATGTCTTCCTGTAGGAATTCAACGGTAGCTCTCAATTACTATTCAGCTTTCCTGGAGTTTCCATGTGCAGGTCAGTTATTCAGCCAGGCCCAGTCACAGTGCTACTTCTGCTCCTTTTACCATTAACCCTGTGAGTTGCTGAGACTCTTTATAGAAGCATTACTTGCACAAGAATCATCATAATGATATGAAATTTATTTTGAAATACATAAAAGCAATTTTCAGAAAAAACAAGAACAAAGACGTAAAGTTTACTCACAATAGCACTAATTAATAGGAAAATTAACCTCTGAAGAGACTTCAAAATTCCTCATTTCATACCTCACTGTTATTTCAAAATCTAATGTGTTCATTTCCAATCACCCAAGCCAGCAGCCATATGGCCTCCAGCCATAAATCTTTAAAATCAACATTCAAATACTAAAATCTTTAAATATCAAAAAAGGTGTCTGAAACACAGACTTACTCCTCATTCACAGGCACGAAGATGTAATCTTTACTGAAGATGTTTATGTGACGAGTCCATGTTCTTACTCTTTTGTGTCTTCTTTGTGCCACTCTGAAAACCAAATGACAATTACTATTAAGATTTGTCCACTAAGAGTAATGTATATAGATTTAGTATTCCTACATATTCCTAATGCCTCAACAGGTTTTTCATTTGCTCTTGACATATTTTTCTTTTGGGAAAAAAAAAAAAAGAACCAGCAAAACATTATGCCCAAGTAAATAACAAGCCATTTCTGAACCATCTTAAACTTTCTGGTAAACTATCCATTGATTTGAAAGATCTGCTGCAAGTATTTACCTACTAATTATTTACTACACCAAATGCAAAAATTGCATCTGTTATTGTAAAAGCAGATCTACAGAAGTTCACAACATACACGAGTTCAACTTCACATTGTTTCTTTTGAGGACCTATTGAAATAGTCTTCGTTTCAGAAGCATAAACATAAAAATGCCTTTTCTAGGGTATCCCTGCAAACTGATAACAAAGTCAGAACCACAGCACAAATTCCCTGCAGTCCTGAGCTTTAACGGTTGGATCACATTTCATTTCTATGCCTACAGACATAAAGCATGGTAAAAGGATTCTAGGAGAATAAGAATAAAATGACAAGAAATGTCAGTTCAGATTTTCAGTTTCTTATTATCATTAAGTTAAAATGGAGACTAATAGTTCAAAAAGCTTTGTATCAAATGTGAACTGAAAGCAAAATCCCATCACTATTTTAATTACATTCTATGCATATTAACTATGATTAAGAATCATAACTTCAATGTGGGAGGAAAGGGAAAGAAGGAGCAAGGAAGGGAAAACCAAGCTGCTGAGAAGCTCTGCAGAGGACAGTGAAGGCTTGCTGCTAACATCCTCTGCTATGTGATTGAGAAGTGCTGGAAATATAAAAGGGGAGGACATGTTTACAACTTGGAAAAAACACCTATATAAGCATCTAAGCTTTCTTAACATGGACAATTTTGTCTCCACTCCAAAACATTCAGGATCAGAAAGAAGTTTAAAAAAAAAAAAAAAGACATTCCCTGCAGCACCATTTCTTGGATTTTTGAGCCTTGTATGTGTAAACATGGTGCGTAAGAAATTTTTTTCAGTGAAACTTTGGACAGTAATTTATTATCAGTGTGCAACATGAAATATGTGGTAAATCTAAAAATATTTTTGGACATGCATCACTTAAAATGATGCATACCTTTCAAAGCTCTGAATCTATAACAAAAAAATCAAAATCTGTAAGTAACTGTATGAAGTGAAGATGAAACTCCTAATAACAGGGAAAGGTATTAACACTTTTATTCCTATTCTATTTGAAAAACATACATATTTTTATATATTTCAACTGTGAGTTACAACTTCACAATTTAACCACTAGTCATTTGAAGAACACTGATTAACATTTTACATGCTAATTTGAAGAAAATGTGCAAATTTCTCAATAATAACAAATAGTTTGCTGAAGTTCATTATGCCATCTAACAAGAACTTACGAAACTTTGGGATCTTCCTCAGAGAATTTTTCTGTCCTGGTCAGGCATTTATAGAAGAAGCTGCTAAAAATGTGTGTACGCTCAGCAAGATGTTTTGGTGCCTTCTCCAACAACAGGTATCTATCAAAGAAAAAAAGATGGCAACTAACATACTCCCTTTCTAGAAAGTATCTTTACTGATCAAGAGAATAACTATTATTTTAATGACTTTGCATATTCAGATTGTTTAATATCAGTTGTCTTCACAATTTTTTATTTTTTATTTATTTATTTATTTTTTTAATCTACTCTATTTTATATTGTTTACAGACTGAAAAGGCCAAACAGCCACTAAAAATGCAGATGCTTTTATCTCAGGTTTGTGCTCCAGTATTAACGTTGCTACCCTTATTTTTACAGCTACATTTCTAGGACTTGTAACAAAGCCAGGCCTAATATAAGACTATGCAGTGTTATACTTTATTTACAAAAAGAATAGAACAGATCAGTAGTATAAATTGCCAACTTGACTTGTACAAGTCAGACACATGAAAGTTGAGATGAACTTTCTAGAGAAACTCATTTAGTATGACATTACTGTTGATCATTTCACTATAAACAATGACTTACTTGATTACTTACTTAAGATAGAAATCAATGATGACATCATTAAGAAACTCTCCGTATTCTAAGCATTTTAGGTCCTCTCTTGTGACTCCAAGTCCTCCTTTTGCAGGTGGGGGTGGATAAACAATCAGACTAGAAAACACAAAACACGTCATAACAGTAAAGAACCATGTTTTACACAACACTTCTTTTGTATGGTCATTTTATATGAAAAATACTCTCTAGAAAACGTGGTGAAGTGCAAGTTCTCAGAATCTTTAACCATATCAAAAGTTCTTCAAGCCCAATACTAAGAATATTTACAAGAGTGTTTATGTCCCCCACTGCACACTAGAATTTTGAGTAAACTTCTGAAAATGAAGTTTTTTACTTTTACCTTTTCCTCCTTTTTTCTTTTCATAAAAGTAATTGATAAATGGCTATACAAATTAGGAAAAATACTAGGGCATATACTCTCACAAAAAGTTCTCAAGAAAACTTTATTCCAACTAATATTTGCCATGCTAAATATACGATACCTGCATTACGCATCTGCATGCTCTCATTTTGTAATGTATTTTGTTAAGCTAGGTCCTGTAATAACTAGTAAAACGTATGACAAACTAGTTATACATAGATCAAATGGGACAGAACAGTGAAAGAAAACACTGTTTAAAGGGGAAAAAAAAAAAAAGACAGCTTAAATTACCAATCATTTTGCTGTAATAAGAACACGGACACCGATAGAGGTCATGAGAACCCTATCCTCCCACTGATACAACTATGATCTGGCCTAGCAGTTACAGTTCAGGTATTTCCGGATTTCTCAGGTTCTATTTCATCCTGTAACACACTCATCTTGTCTGTTAACTTTTGAATAGCTACATTTATATCTAGTGATATTATATTCTATTACACAACACCAAAATTAACTTAAAATGAAAATTACATACTTCTTAACTGCTCCAGATTCTCCTACTTCTTTCCATTCTTCATTCAGTGCAGAGGATAGAGAGATAGAATAGCAACCACTGTTCTGCTTATTCGCAAGGGCATAACTGGGCCTGGCCACTTTTGGTTTTGGTTTCTACCAGAAAAAGGAAATAAAAAGTATCACAAAACATTATTCAGCTTTTGAAGCTGCAGAGCAGCCCAAGGAATGTCAAGACATCTCTGGAATGGGAAAGATACACAGTTTCTTCCCTACTGCAACCATTCACTTCTAGTTCAACTGATAAATGGCTCCATTGCTTCTTACTTGACTAACTCCTAGCTTGCTGCCCTGGGGTCACCACAACAGCAGGAAATCCCTATGGTCTGAGCATATGCAGCCATAAGTCAATCAAAAGTTTGAGCATTTGTCACTTATTGACGAGGTCCCTCTACGTTATCCCTTCATACATATCGCCTAGTTTATCACAAATTGTCCCCTTTGTAAGAAATAAATAGCAAACAATTGTGTTGTGGGTTTTTTTGTTTGTTTGTTTTTTGGTTTTTTTAAACTGGAGATATAGAAAATGTGTTTTCTGCACTGGTCTGATCCAACACTGAGTGGAATATGTGAACACCAACAACTGGTGATAAATCAAGCAACAGTTATTCGCTAACCTGAAATGTAGGCTCTTGAGCAAATGAGATACTCTCTTTTGTTGCACATTGCTTTAGCAGATCCTCACTGGAACTTATAAAAGAGCACTCTTCAGGAGACAAGTCCTTAAACAAGAGTAAAGCTTGCTTCAAAGATAACAATTCAGGGAGATCTGGCGCCCTGTTTTTCTTGCTTATCTCTGTAATTAATTCAGAGAGCCTGACGACTTCTTGTTCTGTGAGTGGTTGGGACAGTTCAAGAAAAATAAATTCACTAGATTTGGCTGGAAAAAGGAAAGAATGGATATTATTAATGATACTGCTGTGTGACAAAAGTTCATCTGCACACCCACAAAGGAGCATAGAGAAACAACAGAAGGAGAAGACTAAGTAATATCCTTCCTGGGTTCATCATAGAGGTTCATCGGTTCATCAGAAGCCCAACTCCACAAGCCCACAGAAGCACAAGGGCACAATGGCAGGCAAAAACCCCAACTGAAGACTTGGAAAAAGGGACATCCCCATCAAGGCTCTTCCCAGAGCTGTCCCAGGCGAGCCTCTAGTCCAGGTGTGAACCCCATGCAGATAAATTGATGGCAGAGCATCTTGTGGATAGAAGGGGTTTACTGCTTAGGTGCATTGTACTCATGTTGGGATATAAGGCAAGAGTACTCACATGGTTCGCTGCTAATACGTTTTCCTAACTGGGTTTCAATCTTTTCTAAATAATCCACAGACAACCAAATGAAAATTATTGTTGTTGAAGAACAGCCACCATCATTTTTCCACAAGCCAAACCTTCTCACATCCAAGGTATCCACAGTCAGCTTAACGTTCTTATTAAGTGCCACTGTAAAAAATAGGATTTAAAGTAACTATTCGTGGCTGTAGAAGAGAAAACAACACGTCATAGTATGGATAATTAGAGTTACTACATACTAAAATAAATACACAATCGAATTTATTAAAACTGCAATTGTATATTTAATTCCTGGCACAAGGGAAACCATTTAAATTACATAAAACAAAGTTATCAAACCAAAAATACCACAGATTTCCTATTTTCTTTCAGTCAATCCAACCCAGAACTGCTCAGAAAACTTTTCCTGTGAGATACAGTAAACCATGCATCATCTTGGGAAAACAGAATGAATGCAAATCTACAGTTACGTTCCTCTTTGCTTTAGTCAACTCACACATTTTTAATAAACCTAAGGGTCTAAAATCCCTGGTTTGAAAGGATTCATTTGAAATACATGAAATAGTTACATTTAATACAGTCCAACACTTTGTATAGGCAGGAATGCACAAAAAGGGCCACTAAAACTACAAGTTCACTTTAAAAGCACAGACAGTAGCTGTTATCAATGCTTACACTACAGATATCCCTAACTCCATTTACTGAAAAATGTTTATTTCAAAAGTGATTCGGTGTCTTTGTGAACAATTATGAATTTTATCAACAAAATTATAGGCTGAGTATCATGTAATACTCTAAAGATTAAATTTAAAGAAAAGGCTAAATAAGTTTGCCTTACCTTGAAATGGTATTGTAATATACTTGGTGATAAACTGAAATGAGATTGAAAAACAACATAAATGAATTCACTTTTTACAAGTTGAATGTTTTATTACCTCCACATCCTCCCTTATTTATAGTCAAATAAACTTAAAATAATATGCCTAATTTGAGATTTGCCTTTTTCACAAAAAAACAAAATTCCTAAATGCATATTACAAATTTAAACAGTTACATTCACATTCTTAAAAAAAAAAAAAACAAAAAAAACACTTAAAATGAATTTAAGGAGATATCCTTTGATAAAGACTGTCAGCTGCACTACTTGAACAAAGGACACTCTGTAAACTGTCCACACTGGGATGTGATCTTGATATTTGCACTAATCTTTGAATTAAGTGCCTTTAAAGTTTCTATGTAAGTTGTCACTATGTTAGAAAAACTTGACTAAATAAAGAATGTTTTTAGCATCACTTTTATTGAAGGGTGTAGTATGTGCTGAGAGAAGAGGTTTCTCTTCCCTTACCACAGTATACACAAAGAATAAACTTGTTTGTCCCCCAAGGATATCTTTCCACCTAGAAGAGTTCTATTCCAACTCATCTCTAGAATTATTTTGTCATTATTTTGAACTGCTGCACAAAACTGCTGTTTTGTTATTATTGCAAACTACAGTATTTCAAAATGTTTTACTGTAAACAAAAAAGACATTTGTATTCCAACTTTTTTTTATTTCTATACATACAATGAGCCTGTTCAAAAACCTATATAAGTTCCCACAGTTGGTACTACAATTAAAGTACACCTTCACTTATATTTCTACACTTTGTTGAGAAGCACGTTACCTATGCAATTAATGCTTTTAGTATCATTTTACAGCTCTCTGAAGCTACAAACAATTTTCTGTTTAAATGGCAAGATTAATGCATATTATACATGTGAACTATATTTATCTTATTCTAGTATCTGTATTATTTTTAAGAAAATTAATTTCATTTCCAATTGACGTCTACTCTACCACAGTCATTATTTGCTGTTACAATTCACAAAAAAACTGCCCCAAAATGATTTCTGTCCCACAGCATTTACCAGAATCTTTACCTCTGAAAACTAGAGCTACACAAAGTTTCATACTGACAACAGTCCAAACATACAAATGTCTTTCAGCCAAAGCAATTTGATGCAATGATAATCAAAAAGTGCATCCACACTAAATTCCACTGACTTTATTTAAACTGAATTTTGTTTTTTAAATATTCTCAAATGTAACCATAATAGACAAACTTACTCTAACAGGACCCGTTGATGACCATTTAAAATTCCCAATGTACAGGCTTTCAAATTCAAAATCTAATCCTGGCTTCACCTCTTCACTAAGTATTGTTCCAGAAGGCAAGTTGGAAGGACATTTATCTTCATCTGACTTTGTTAAAAGCTGAGGAAAAAAAAATGGAGGGGGTATATATGAGCTTTTTTAAATGAATTCTTTCCATTCTGTTGTCTTACATATTCTCTCTTTATGTTTTTAAGAACTTATTCACAAACTGCATATTAGAAACAGTACATGTTACCACAGTCGTTAACAATTATCTCCTCAAGGGCTGAATAGTATCTTACTCTGATCTCCAAATGCCAAGACATAACCCGGACTCTTTGCCATCTGTACCCAAGCAAAAACTCAAACAATGGAGCAACAGAAAATACTCCCCTTTTGATATCAAAGGTATAGATCCAATTCAATGCTTATTATAGTAACAATGCATTTGTGAGACAAAGCAATAATGACTCTCCTGGCCTGTTTTGGGATTACAAATATATGCCAAATTCAGGTCTAACAAAGCAAAACAAGACTCATGAAGTTCAAAACGTGGCAACTGTTGTTGTTAGGTTTAGATTCAAATTCCACTGCTAGCCACATAGGAAATGGAAGTTCAGCTCACCTCTTTCTGCTGTCCAGAGAGTTGTTTTGACTTTTCCACGCAGCAAAAGTTAGAACAGAGGATCAGAAAACAAGAGAAACTACTATGCAAAAAAGTACTACAGCTACTGTTTGGTTGTGACTAGTCATATCTGCTCTAATTATTTCACAGTTGTCCCACAACATGCAAGAAAAAATAAACAGCAAATAAATAAATACTCTGACGTAACAATACATAGCTCAAAAACTGCACTACCTGTTCTGTGTGACTTTCCACATTATCTTCCAATAGCTTTTCAGAGAAACGGTCATCAGACTGTTGGTCTATTTCTTGAACATCAGTAATACGATCCTGCAGTTGTTCCACGCATTTTGGTTCAGAAAGTCCTTCTTCATCCTTTGGTTCAGAAGATCTGTCTTCATCATCACTGGAGAGGACAACTAAAGAGTAAAAAAATATATACATATACTACAGGATCCAGACTTGAGAATATTTCATTGCAGATTTCAGATGAGCAAAAAGCTCTTTCTCTTCCAATATATAATTCTGAAGTATGTTATCCCAGCCAGCCAACGGCTGTGTGTATGAAGGTGTCTGTAAGAAGTTTTCTATCTTTACTATCACTTTGTACCTCTTCTTCAAAACTGCTTGATTCCCAAAAGAGAGAAGTGACAAAATACCTGCTTCAACAACAACAAAAATATTTTACTCAATTCAATTCAAATATTATTAAAAGTCCGAGATTGATTTTCTAAATGTTCAAAGTCAGCTGCAGAATACAGACTGGAATTTGAAAATCCTGCTCTCTGCTCTGTTTATCAAGTACAAAATGCTCTGCACTCTGCGAGACTGAACTGGGCACTGTTCTCTGACCTGCATAATGCATTGTGAACAACACGTGTCCTCAATCTTAGGTTGTATGTATTTCAACTAGTCAGTCATGAATGAGTCCCTAAGCATGCCAATAATAAATCCCAGCAACACAGATACAGTACATACTTGGATCAGCTGAAACAAGTGGCTGATTACTCCCGCAGATTCTGTTCCTCAGCTTGTTTAGGTACTGTGATGTGTCCATCTTTATCTTCCTGATGGTACTAACTCGAGGTGAAACACTAGTGGCAAGCTGTTTTTCTGACAAATTACTGGAAGCAGACTCTGAGCCTGCCTCCTCTGAACAGCAGTGAACAGGTCTTAATTGCTTACTGGTAGGAGTGCCTTTACAGTTTCTCTCCAATGTCTGAGCAACGCAATCTTGCACCAAGTTAGATCTGCGATCTTGCTCATCCTCACAAGGAATTCTGCAGCCAGAAGAGCAAGTTGAACTTAATCTTTGCTCTTTCTAGAAAACAAGAATCAAAGGGTATTTATTTATTCCTTAATCTTTCTTACAATGGTTCAGATTAGTAACAATTGAGCTATATTATGTATATAATATATATATATTATACAATATTTACATTGTATATATATATATACATATATATATACAATATTTATATTATACAATAATTTGCTACATTCTACATAAAATACATAATCATAGCTTATATAGCTTATATAGCATAACCGTCAAAGTTGCAGACGTAATTTTTTTCGCCCTGTATTTCTTACTACACAGGGGAGACAACAAATCTTACTATAAATTGGGGAGACAACCTGTTCAAAGCCTTCCTAAAACCACTTCAAGCTGAACAAGAAATTATTTCCGATTTTCAGTTGCTCTCCCAGTATTTGACAATGAATGACCAAGCAACAGCAACATTTGTTACTTCGCAAATGTGTGGTTTGGTCAACTACCTACTTCTGTGAGCTTTTAATCAGAAAATCACAGATCTACCTTTATCATATTCAAAAGCTTAAATAGAAACCGTAACATTTACTTGACTGATTCTGTCAGCCTTTCCTTTCTTCCTTTTTTTTTTTTTTTTCCCCTCCAAATCTTATTGATTGAAAAAAATAAAAACTGAAAAGAATAAAACTTTAGGGAAGGGTATGATAAACAGAGGAGGAGGAAGGAACGTGGCATCCACAAAATTTCAGTAACCCCAGGTATACTTTGCAAGTCTTGTACCAAAATTACCTAATCAGTTCCATACCATCCATAAAAGAAACATAAGTACCTAGATTTCTTATTTCCAATTTTGTTTTCCTCCATGCTCCAGTCTGAAGGAAATGTTATCTTTCATCCTTTGTGACCTTTCTGCTACAACAAGCATATTCTGATATTGTGAACAGAAGAACCTACATTTACACTTCTCGATGCACCACTGAACTCCTTTCCCTCCAAAATGTAACAATATTGGTTGGTACAACTCTCATATTTTGGATCTTGCTACTGCGGCTACAGAAGCACTCGTGTGCATTTAGCGTGGACACACATGCACACAAGCATGAACACTAAAATTAAACACAACTTACAGACTGTAGAAGCAATTTTTCTGGAACGTGTTCTTTACAATCATCAGAAATATGGCCACTAAATCTTCTTTTCCTTTTCTCAGAATCCAAAGGGCTTGATCCCTTCCAACTAGGAGAGGTAGTGTTCATGTTTTTTCTCTTCTTATCTAGTTCATCAGAGCTCTTGTTTTCTGTGTCAGAAAATAAGTAATTTAAGAGTTATCCTCAAAAACTTCTGTATTTCTTCATATTTGTTGTTTTATATAAAATGCATGGAAGTAGACACCTTCCACAAGAGAGTTCTTCTCTTTCACAATTGCGTGTGGTTGCCAGAATATGTCCCCTAACATAATATGGTAAAGATTGTTACCACAAGAATTGATGAGGATGTAGCCAAATTTAGAATTCCCACATATAGATTAGCACTCTATATTCCACAGATTTTCTTCTCGTTTCTGTTGAATGCAACATTCTGCAATTCTTGCTCGAGTCAGCAAATACTACTAAACAGTGTTCAAAAGACTGCATATTCCCCCTAGAGAATCAGCAGAGAACTCATTATTTTCAACAAGAAAAAAACAAATATTTAACAAATTCCAGTGGGAATCGCAATTTGAGAATTAATATATTCTATTCTTGAGTATAAAAGGTTTTTTTTAATATATAAAATCATTATTTAATGGTGTACTTTGGCTTCTCTCAGTTTCCTTTTGTTCACAGATCTGATTCATCATTGCTTAATTCTTATTTAAAAACATTGTTACTTGATACATTTTAACACACTTGTAAAAACTTGGCTATGAGAAAACATATACTTCATGCAAAAACCAATTTGTTTATTTCTCTGCTCTCCTCATAATACTAGACTAAAGACCCCCAACAAACTCCCAGCAATTCATATTTAAATGCTACATTATTGCTCACTACAAACCTTTCTTCTCCAGCTTTTGTCTTCTAAAAGTCAAGACAACGTTACCTCTTTCTGGTTCCTTAGAAAGATTGCCATCTGACTTTGTCAAGCAATGTTCTGATCTGTGAAGAACATTAATGAAATTATGTTCTTAAAACTTACAAACTTATCTTTAATTTAAGAAAACTTACCTTAATTTTGGAAGAATACTGAATAAGAATCTCAGCAGAAGCAAGTTAGCTGGACAAACTTTTACCTCTCTGACAAGCACATGGAGCTTGGCAAATGAGATGCAAACTAATCCAGATCCCATTATGAAAATATTAAGATACTCTGACATAACTAACGAAATGGATGCAAGGAATGAAGATCTGACATGCCTGATACCAGACACTGAAATATTACTGTGCAGCAAAGCATGACTGTTATGCCTTTGTCATGAATGCAGTAGGAATGAGGCTAAGTAGTATATTTTTTATTTAGGTTTAGAACTGATAATAGAGTCCACTGGATAAGTTCCTGCAACGAGAAGAGACTTGAAATAGAAATTCCTACTCAAAAGAGCCTGAAACAGTAATGTTGAAAGGGAGTAAGGGGAGGTCAAAGGATGTAAAAGAGAAAGAAACAGAAAAGAAAGAGACAGGACCTACAGTATGGAAAATTAGAAAACCTACAGCAGTTCATCTGAGTTTGTAATCTCCTTCTAAAAAGAAAAACATCCAAGAAAGTAATCAGTTGGTGTTTTTTGCTGTTGATTGTGTTTGCTTTTAATAAACTGGACAATTTACTCAGGGTGCAGTGGTAGCCTGAACATTATGACATCCCTACATTTGAGTCTGGACCTTGTAAATATGCCTTTATAATATACCTATAGTCACAGATTTAAAAAGTCTACATAGCCATACTTTGGTTTCTAGCATATGCACTACGATACTATATTTAACTATATGTTCACATGATATTTTCTTAGAGAAACTTAATTACATTCAGTATACAAGACTTCTCTTCTGAAAATTTAATAGCAAACTGACCTTTGTGACCTCTCCTTTATTTGCAGTGAGTGTTGGAAGGTAAGAAAATAATGTAAGATTTCATATACAAATCAGTTTAATGCTGCTCTGGAAAACTCACTCAATTTCTCCTTTTGTCATTTCCTTTAGTAGAAAATGATTTGGGGTTAATAATTTTATAATGTGCTGAACTTGGAATTTTGCAGTGCAATTTGCAAAGAGCTGATGATCGTAACAACTGAAATCCCAAACAGCTGAGTTCAGACAAGAACATCATGAAACACAGGAGAAAATACTCTTGACATCTTTAACTAGGCAGTCAAAATCATTTCTGAACAGGTGCCTAATCTTCAGTGCCATATGTGTAAACTGCATTACCACATCTCTATGGGAATGCTGTAAAGATACATAAAGATGTCTGGACTGCTCTGATATTACAGTGCTGAACACTACATAATCACCATGAAGAAATCACTAATTCTTTTTTCATTCATGATGAACCACAAATGTGTCCATATGCACAAAAAGTAAATGCATAGAAGCAATATTATTCTCTCTGTATATTGAAGAAGACAAAGTCTTCCATGGGTGAGGCAGCTCTAGTTATGGAATAGCTGCCTTACTGCAGAAAACTTATTTTGGAACCAACGTATCTCTCAATTTATATGTTTGTATAAACATATAACTATTATTTAATCTGACTGCTTTAAATGACGATACTTGAGTTGTTTTCAACATCTGTGAGAACTAAGTATGAAATAAATCTATCAACTACCCTAAGTTTCTTTATATTTAACACCCACCTTAAATTCATTATACTGACCATGACTTAAACAAATGCATTTCACACTAGCTGCAGTGAAAACGCAATGCAAAATCCACTAATTCTTTAACATCAAAAGGAAGAAAGGAAGCGGGGAACTCACATCAAATTCTAGCTGACAGAAAAAGGTTAACTTATTACCACCCTGTTTTGATAGCACACAATTCTTTGAGTTAATCTGTGATTTCCACAGTACAAAGGAACAATTTTCAGTAAGGATGAGCCCTTATTCTAGCTATTTTGATGGTACCAGAGAATGTCAATATGGCCACATATGTATATTCATAAGGGGGGAGCTTTTAATCTGCTCTGAGAGAAAAGGCCACTACAGAATCAATAAGTGTATTCTAAACGCAGACATTAACTACTGAAAGGTGACAAGGATCAAACTCTCTCCTTGTTGGAAATAATCATAAATTCTCCATTTCCCATGTGGTAGCTACTAAAACTTGCACTAATACCCTGAGGTCACAGGGAGGGCTGGAGGGGGAGAGGGGTGGAAGAGGTGCAAAATCCTCCTAACATTACTGTTTTCTAGTAGTAAGTTTTTCACTTCACACGTTAGACCCTTTTTAGTCAAAAAGATGTTAACTAAAAGTACAGATTTTATTAATCTATATAAATATATATCCAGTTCCATAATTAGCTAAAAAGTCTGAACTTTAATGGCATATCTCTAATGCATTTCTGTCATCGGGCATTATTCTCTTCACAGGGTTACATAGAGCAGAACAATTATCAGTTATTTCAGTCCTGAAGAGTTCAAAGCCATTTTTGTACTTATGATAAAACTGAACAGCCAGCCTTCAATTATGAGCATGAAAAACACACGAGATGCTTGCTTGGGTTTGGAAAATTGTATTTAAAAGTTTATGCTTTTCTCTCTCTGAATGCACTGACTCCTTTCGTCCAAAAGAATACCAAGAAGAAAAATAGAATTCTAAAAATTATAGATTTTAAATATTTTGTAAAGCAAAGTGACAACAACTGAGAATTCCAAACTCATCAACACTTAGTCTGTCCCAAGTTACGAAAAGATGTCCTAGCAACAAATGACATACTTCTAGAGTGACACTTAACCAACAGTTTAATGAAGTGCTCTCTTATTTAAGTTGCAACTTTGTCAGATTAATTTAAATAGTAACTGAGATTCCAACAGTAAAAGAGAAAGCAATTCCTACTAATTAAGGTTCTCTATCAAGCTCATCTATCAGAATGAGGAGTAAGAATTAATTTTCTCAAGAATGCATAGGATTTCTTATAGCTAGAAGTTGGCGATTATTCCTGCAGTCACCAGTTGTTCTTCTTTTCCCTTCTCATTCTATTTTTTTTTTTCCCCATAGATTTCTTGCTATTTATTTCTGTGAATACTTTGCTACTGAGCAAAGACCGTAAAGGAAGAGACGGTCATAAAAGGCAGGAGCTTACTCCAAGTTCAAATGTCATCGTGGACTGGAACAAACACTGCGTAATTCAACTATCTGCTAGTATAGCACTTCAACTTTCCTATGATAGTCAACGTAAACATCAGAAAGAAAAAAAAGCACAAGCTAAGCAACAAGATACACACACAGTCCTTAAACTATGCCAGTCTGTTGATGAGACTGCGACCCCTGGTGGATTAATGAGAAAAGAAATGAACAAAGAGAAATTTGCCAAAACTTGGCAAAGTTAATTGAAACTGTGGAAGAACATATTAAGAGCAGCAGCAAAGCAAGAGTGAAATATGTTTGAATTAGATGGCAACCCTCAGAAATCAGAAACATTGATCTATCAAAAATGGAAATTCTTTCCACAAGAGAAAACTAGTCCATTAATATCTGGTACAGCACAAATAAGAATAAACGCAAAGTTAAAATGGTTTGTCAGAGATGTTAGTTTTCATTCAAGAACACTGAAATGCTTCAAGGCAGGAATATCATAAAAACTTTTTCAGGGCAGTTCTTCTCCATTGTGAAGCTGTATCATTTCAGGAGGAGTGAAAAAATCAGTATGGAGTAACATACCTTTCAGACAGAAAAGAACTTTCATGAGGAGAACTTAATATTTGACATGTTTGTGCGCTGGCAACAGATGATGAAGCTAGTTGACCCAACTGTAATTTCTCAGCATCAGATAAATTAGAATCAATTAATATATGACTGTCCACGTATTTCCTTCCAATTCTCGTCCTCAGGACATTCGTCAAGATAACTTGAGGTTGCCTGCCATATATACATAACAGTAAATCACAAATACCACACTGAGATCTAGAGAAAGAAGTTTCATGTTAAATTAATGCATTTTAGAAGGTGGACGATCCCCAAAATCAGCAAACATCATTACTCTTTTCTCAATCTTATGTCAGTTAGAGGCATAAAACAAAATCCCATTATGGAACTTAAAATCCAGAGTAAGCAGATAAACAAAAAAATATACAAGTAAGAATCCAAATGGCAAAAGGCCAGTGAGATCATTTCAACTTAACCAGATACAACTCACACTACATTGCTCCTAATACATCAGTAAAGTAAAATAAAGTTTAATAATTCGTGTCTATCTCTAAGGAGCTTTCAAGCAGTAGCTGTATACATTTCTCTCAATTCTGGAGCAAGCAATCTTGATTTTCCTGTGAACAAGAAGCCTCCAGTAAAACAGACTGAACTTTCCCAAGCAACCATTCAGTAGGTTAAAAGTAGCACATACACAAGAAGTTAGCATTAGAGTTTGTTCCCTTCCTCAACTTCCAGGTGACACTGTACAATACAGCAAAAGCAAGGCTCAGAAAAAAAATCTTCTAAGTGTTAAAGAGACAATCACAAAAATAAGATCTCTTCCTTTACTGAGATGTAAACCTAATTTTAATCAGAGGCTATATTAAGGACAAGCTGTTGCAGTGGCCTACAGGTGATATGCAACAATTTATTATTATAAATATGATATAACGGAAGTCTGATGCAAAAGAATATCACAATCTGGATGCAAACTCCAATAAAGGAAGTCCCTAAACTGTTCATTATCCGAAGCTCAGAGAGAAACGTCAGTGAAAAAGACATTAACTTTAGCCATGTGTTTCCTAGACATCTGCAACTGACCACTGTCTAAGGAAAAGAGATACTAGACTTGATATGCCTCTCTTCTGATCTTTCTGCCTGTTCTCATATTTTCATAACTAGTCTGAAACAGTGACAATACATTCCCACCCTTGCCTGATAAAGAAGATAATTAAATGGAAATGTGTTCTTTTCCCAATAAGTTAAAAAAAACCTATTTTTTGAGAGTCTAATGACTGAAACAGAATGAACTGATCTTGCCAGTACAGGATCACCAACAAGCCAACTGATCAGAAATCTCATTACAGTGCACCTGGCACCATCTCTCTCATAGATTATCAAAAGGAAGTAGATGCAATGGAATTCAATGAAGTCAGATGACATAAGAATGCGAATAAAAATGAACAAGACAGCTGTGATACAACATAGAATACTTTCTCATGAAAAACTGCAAGGAAAATTATTTTGTTTAGTGATATAAAGGCAAATACAACATACCTTTTAGACAGAAAAGGGCTGTGGAGAGCAGGGTTTAAAATTTGCCATATCTTTAGGCTGGCAACAGATGATGAGGGTGGTTGATTTGACTGCAGCTTGCCAGCATCAGAAAAATTAGCATCAGTTTTAGGTTGTGCTTGTGTGTATTTTCTTCCTATTTTCGTCCTCAGGACGTTCGTCAAGATAACTTTGGGTTGCCTGCCATGCATACAATAATAAATTAATAATAGGGTGTGGAGAGCTTGTTAAGTCACATGAATGCAACAAAGCTTTTCCATGAGTTTCCTGTCTCTGCATCATGTCTTATATCTTTAGTAGTATTGACACCATTTTCCCAGCAATTTACAAAGTAATTCTCTATGCAGGAAAGGAATCATAACTGCAACTCTTATCAGCATATTCTTTCAGGGTTTCTTCTATTATCAATGACTGATTGATCCATATGTGATTCTGAAGTGGTAAAACTCCCATGCAGGGGCAAGGAAATTTCAGTATTTCTTATTGCAAAATGTCAGAAGTGGTGTCATAATGGCCTTATAAACTATTCTGAAAGTATACACTTGAGTATTTTCAGGGTACAACATTAACCACTCATATTGTGGCATCCTGTTTTAAAACCATAAATACTATTGCTTTCCATATCAAAATTCAGAATACAATATAGCTGTAAAATAAAATCAAATAAGATATAGTTGGCAGCTTTGAAGCTTCAACTGATGATGTTTCTTCAATTATCACTTCAGAAATAACATACAATTATGAACTACTAAGTTAATGAAAACTCCCTGTTAAGGTTCTTTTAAACAAGAATTAAATATGTATCAAGGCCAGCAACTTGAACAGTTTTCTTTAAGCTGACAAGTATTACATACCATGGATGATATATCAGCACTCATTCTAGATTGCTGACTACAATTTCAAGCAAGTGAGAATTGGATCTGTTTTATCAGGGCCATTTATAAGAGCACACATACAAGCTCAGGCTCATAAGACTACCAATGTAAGAACTCCCTTCTCTCTTGCAATTTCTTGCCTATTCTAAATTGTTCACCTTCTTTTACAGCTATAGAAAGTATTTTACTGTTCACACAGCTTTTTCATGCTACAGCAATAATTCTTCAGCAAAAGGCTGCTATTGTTCAGTGGGTTAACAACTGTTGCGTCAGTGATGAGCTGCATTCTCACAACAGAACAGTTATATTGTGCCAGGTGGTAAATAGATCAACTGGCAAGAAAATTACAGAAGAACAGGTATGCTTGAATGTTTTATATATATGGAACTGCTACACTGATAAAATGTGAACAGGGAAGTGTTTCACAAAATCCTTCTGTTTCACTCTTGCATGAGTTGCTGCATGTTGAGATTTCTTTTCCCTTGTTATTTGTCATGTGAACACACAACCTCTCAGCAAACAAAAAGGTCAATAAGCTTCCTATACACAGCCTGAAAAACCTGCATGTAAACTACAACTGCTGATCAATTTTAGCCAGATCTCTGCATCACTGAATGCCATAATGCAAGTGCACAATGAGCTGCTGTCATCAAGAGCTCTTCCAATGGACTTCCTGAACTAGTAGTACAACGTTTTTACAATCACACACTCCATCAGTAAGAGTATTTTGAGCATATGGAAACCACAGTGTTTATTTAACTGTGAATTACATAGATGTACTACTGTACTAGTATGTTAGTAATAGAAATTTTAAAATGAAATAAGCAACTTTTTAAAAAATTTATTAATGGTACAAACAGTACTTCCCTCTGCATGCCAACAGATTGCAGTGTGGGGCATGAAAACCACTTTGGAGACAACTGCCCTACACAACAGACACAGAACTTAAATAGTTCCAATTCAAAGCTAAGCAATTTCAGCTCAAATGAAGGCAGCTTCTTCCACTCTCTAGGATTCCCTTAGAACTTTCCCAGAGGAAAACTAAATGGCCAAAAAGTATTGTGGCTTTGACTGAGATATAATTAATTTTATTCAGCAGCTCTTATGATGCTGCGTTTCAGATTTTTGATTAAAAACCGTTGGTAACGCACCAATATTTTGCTTGTTGTTTAACTTGCTCAAATAATACTAATGACTCAACCTAAAGAATTTAAAAAAAGGAAAAGTTAAAGCACTCAGATACTAAGAATCTGAACAAAGAAGTGTTTCGTTTTGTACAGGATGACTCCTAACTACTGTAGGAAAAACAATCCAGGGTTTCTGAAGCAAGAGATAAGCTCTTTGATGGCAAAGAGAAGTCATACGTGCGTAATCTTTGGACTCATCAAAAGACTGATCCAAACCACAGGAGTGCTCCTGAATATTTTAGGCAGTCAGGAAAAATCAGGTAGGCATCTGCTATTTTACATACACTTGTGCATACTCTGTGTAATAAGACAAAGAATTGTTGGTTTTAAGAACCTTTTGCAGAGTCTGAGCACCTACTTCAAGTATTGTAGATCTAAAAAAGATTTCTTTTATACTCTGAGGCTCAAAATTTTCTTTACAGACATGTTTATCCTACTGACAAACTTGGAAAGTAAATACAGGTCTGAGCAACTTAAGGCAACCAAGATACATGGCTGCTCCCACACTGTTCTGTTTCCAAGGAGCAAACAACATAACTGATATTCAGTTATCTTTGGAAGGGTGAAATGCTGCAGTTTCCCCAGACTACAGGAGGTTTAAGAACACCAGTGTTTAACAACATAGAACCCAACCGTAGCAGCCTAGCAAACCAAACCTGCAAAGTAGTCTTCAGCATAGGAAGCAGGAGACACTTCCTATGGAAATCTATTCCAAATCAGAAGTTATAGCTTTTTTTCTGGGCTTCTCAGATGCTCAGAGCTGATATGTTAACCTTGGTATTCAGATCTATACGTCTTTTTTTTTTTTTGTCCAACTGTAAGATATACTTGAAATAATAGATATATAAGGAAATGAGAAATACATATGTCTAAGAAATCTGAGAAAATAAGTCTGGTGTCCCAGAAGAGAATAAGCAATGGAAAACTAAGCCAGACAGTTCTTCTATTCCTCTAAGAGGACTTGAAACTACAAATAATACCCTGGATTACCTAAACAGCATCTTTCCTTCAAATACAACAAAGAAACAGTCAGCAAGGCCTCAGCAATCTGAACACCTGATTCTGAAATCATTTTTCCAATATAAAAAATAAAAAGCATTTTTTAATTATTACTGTAGAGCTCCATAAAACAATATAAGCGTTACTCTATGGAACATCCCTCTGTCCTCCTGGCTACAATCATGATAACAGGGTATTTTCACAGACCTAAACTTTTTTCACATTGTAAAAATGACAGGATTTGCATTTGTGTCTGTTGATCACAACATACCCTGATGATTTTTTTCCTAAATTTATCCTGAGTCAGCAAGATGATTAGTCCATACATGAACTCCAAATCTTCAGTTTAATCGTATGATCAGGACTCGTAAAGATAACTGAAAAGATTCCAGCTCTCAGGAACTTGGACATCTTGGAAACCAAGATCTGATGTCACAGACTCTGTTTGCTCGTAGTCCTATCAGATTAGATAGGCTCTCAGCAATTTGGTTCAGTGATTGTTATTAGGTATAGAGTCACTCATGGTCACTGTTCCCTTCATTTAATGGGCCAAAAAAAAAAAAAAAAACTTTATAAAAAAGATAGTGCCAGGCTAAAGCATCACTTCTTATATAGCATCAGTTTCTGACTACAGGCAGGTTGTGACTTATCTTCAGAGCTGTACAGTGCTAAACATGTTCAATAGCTTTTCTTTCTAAAGGCGAAACAGCACCTGATCATATTTCTTGAAAAACCATGTCATTAAGATTGAACATAAAACAAATTGAAGAAAAATTAAGCCAGCACTTAAGCCAGCTTGCATCTCTGTATACAAAAATTAGCACAGATTCATAAATTATCTGCTAAGCTGTCCAAAGCATAATGCAAGCAAACCATGCAAAAGAAATTGCAAAAGAAAAAGATGTGAAGCAGAAAAAAAGCAAGCAAAATATGCACCAAAGCCAAGTTCTGCTGGCAGATAGAGAAAGGAACATGTGCAACATAAGACTGGAGGCATCTTGTGAAGGAAAACCAAAGCAGTGTATTTTTTGTTTCTAATGCAAACACCTATCCTAACCCCTCTTGTCTACTTCAACAGAAGAGAAAGGAATACATTAAAAGATAATGAAAAAGAAAAGGGCAATATGAAAAATGCTACTAGTTGCTCCTCTTGAGTCCTAAATCATTTCACAGGCAAAGAAAAAGGCCCCACAACATTATTCTACCTTACTAAGCACAAGATCAAAAGCTATTATTTGTATCAACTGACAGAAAATGTCTGACCTCTACTGCGCTAGGGAATTGGGCTCCTAGGATCAGCTCCTATCTCAATGATTATGTATGTATATAATCAGTATGTACCACTGGTTCTAGTTTGTCCAAATTTGTATTAGAGAGAGATCAAAATCAGACCTGGAAGTTACTGACTTCTTTTTTGAGTAAGTTAATGGCAATTGTCTAGACAATTCTCTTCAATGTCTACATTCTTCTACTCGTAAGCCCAAATTTTGTACGAATAAATATTTTAACAGTGGCTTGCCACATGCCATCTGAAGGTTCCCCTTCAAGTCCTGTAATAGCCAAGTTTACAGAACAAAGCCACTTGACAACCTTGCTGTGTATTCATCCATCTGAGCTTCTGCAGCATGTACCCAGCCCACATGGTCCTCGGCCTTAAAAAGCCTCAAAGAATACATCAAATATCAACCATTAATGGGAAATTCACTGCCACGTTCAACTACTACATTATTCAAAGAAAACTTCTGTGTGTTGCCCTTGTCCTCCTACTTCAGAGCCTTGACATTTCATCACTTCTTTACAAGTCAATGTTTTAACAGCAAAAGCGTATGTTGCTTTGCTGGTCCTGAAAGTTACAACCACTTGGATGATTACATCAAGGCAAGGGGGAAACAGTATGTAAATGACTGTCTCAGGGTCGTACTTGATTTCAGTACAAAAAAAGACAGGGATCTCTTGGAAGGAGTCCAGCGGAGGGCCACAAAGATGGTGAAGGGCCTGGAGCATCTCTCCTACGAAGAAAGGCTGAGTGAACTGGGTCTGTTCAGCCTTGAGAAAAGAAGGCTGAGAGGAGACCTGATCCAAGTCTATAAATATCTAAGGTGTGGGGGGCAGAATGGCGAGGCCGGACTCTTTTCAGTGGTGAGTGGAGACAGGACAAGGGGAAATGGCTGGAAACTGCAGCATAGGAAGTTCCGCACAAACATGCGCAAGAACTTCTTTACAGTGAGGTGACGGAGCACTGGAACAGGCTGCCCAGGGAGGTGGTGGAGTCTCCTTCTCTGGAGATGTTCAAGACCTGCCTGGATGCCTACCTGTGCGACCTGCTGTAGGGAACCTGCTTTGGCAGGGCGGTTGGACTCGATGATCTCTGGAGGTCCCTTCCACCCCCTACAATTCTGTATCTGTATTGATTCAGCTGTGATTTATATTATAATTGATGTTTAAAACACCAAGTTGAAAGAATCATACCTTATGAAAGTACTGCTCCTACCCTTCCCCTGTAGAAAACTTAACAGACCAGAACCAGAAACTAGAACTTCAAAACAGCATTCTGTTTAGTCTTTTGTTGTTAGATTTTTAAATTAGTTTTTATTTTCCTCTAGGACAACACAAGAGTAATACAGCTGAGACAAATGGATGCCTCTAAGCTCCATTTCTAGGCAGTGATGGTTACCCTGAAAACCAGGTTATCCCCTTCCTGAAAAAAAAAAAAAAAAAAAAAAAAGTGGAATGCAACACATGAACAGACCAGATACATAAGTATGATTACTACCTTTTTGCAAGATGCTAATATCAAGTGACAGTCCTAATCTGCTCTAACACAATTGCAGCAACATGTAAGAGACCAACAGAATATGAAGAGGACTAATGAACTAACCTCCCCCCAAACCCTGTTCAGGTATCATGAACAAATCACCTGAGAGTAACTTTTCACAAAGTCCTGAGCTGAGGTGTTCAAATGTAGGAAATTGTGGTTTACAACACGGCTTCCAACCCTCATGGCCCTTTCTCACAGTAGGAGGGATAGAAGCAACAAGCTACCAAATTTTGCAACTCAGAATTTTTGTTAGGCCATGAGCAAATGTGAGTTTGTGCTAATGCACTCACCTAGTCCTTTCTGACTAAAATTAGAGAGTCACTAACAATGCCCAAGTAACACCTCAGAGGAAATACAACTCCTTAAATATTTAATATTAGCTCCCATCAATGAGGAAGATAATACTTTTTTTTTTTTTTTTAAAAAAAAAAAAAAAAAAAAGAGTTAAGATTTTGTTATTAAGACTTATTTCCTACTCTTCAACATAAATGAGAGTCCTCATTAGGAAGAAGAGAGAAACTTTTGCATTAGGAAGATTTCTTCGCATGCTTGACCCTCACTATGAGGGGAGGTCATGGAGCAGGTATCACATTGAGTGCAATCGCACAGCATGTGCTGGACAGCTAGGGTACCAGGCCTAACCAGCACAGATTCATGAAAGGCAAGTTCTGCTCGATCGATCTCATTTCCTTTTATGAACAAGTGACTTGTCCAGTGGATGAGGGAAAGGCTGCAGATGTAGTCTACCCAGCCTTCAGTAAAGCCTTTAACACTGTCTCCCACAGTATTCTCCCAGAGAAACTGGCAGCTCATGGCTTAAACAAGAGTCTGGGTAAAAAAAAAAAAAAAAAAACACCAAAAAAACACGGCTGGACAGTGGTGGTGAATGGAGTTAAATCCAGCTAGCAACTAGTCACAAGTGCTATTCTCTAAGGGACAGTATTGGAGCTGGTTCTGTTTAATATCTTCATTGATAATGTGGGTGAAGGGACTGAGTACACCCCCACCAAGTTTACATACTACACCAAGTTGGAAGGAAGCACTGATCTGCCTGTAGGGAAGCCACACAGAAGGAACTGGAAAGACTGGAAAGACCAAGTGCCAGGTCCTACTCTTTGGTCACAGCATCCCCCCATGCAACACTACAGGGTTGGGGCAGGAGAGTGGCTGGAAAGCTACACAGAAGGGAAGTATCAGAGGGCATGTATGGGAACTGTTAGGTCATGGTCTGAACCAATGATTGAGCACCTGGTGAAGGGGCATGGCCAGCCCTGGGAGCACAAGTGCAAGTAATTCACCTGTGCAACCTTAACCCTATTTAAGGGCTGGCAACCAAAAGGGAAGCATCTCTACTTGGAGACTGCCTTATCTGAGAGTTTCCAGTGAGCCCAGATCCTTGGAAAAGGGTGAACTATTTTTTCTTTATTACTGGATTGTGACCACTACCTTTCTTGAATGATCTGAAGCTGGTTAAAAGCAACTGTACCTGCTGCCACATGTCTTCACAGGGTATCACTTGTCAGCCAGCTGAATGTGAGCCAGCAGCGTGACCACGTGGCCAAGAAGGCTAAGAGCATTCCAACTCATATCAGAAATAGTGTAGCCAGCAGAACCAGGAGGGTACACAGCACTGGTGAGGCTGCAGCTCAAGTTCTGTGATCAGTTTTGGGCACCCCACTATAAAAAGACATTGAGGCCCTGGAGCACATCCAGAGAAGGGCAAAGTAGGTGAAGGATCTGGATCAAAACTCTTACAGGGAATGGCTAAGGAAAGTGGGATTGCTTAGTCTGGAGGAGGCTCAGAGGAGACCTTATTACTCTCAACAACTACCTGAAAGGAGGTTGTGGTAAGGCAGGGGCCAACCTCTTCTCCCACTGTATAATCAAAGAATATTAGGATGTTATAATCACAAAATAAACAAGAGAGTTCGGCAAAGCAGACTACGATAACAAAAGAGAATAAATAGAAGGCTTACCCCTATCCTGGGCTCACTCACAAAACACCAGTAGAGGCAACCTCCAGAAGAGATCCTTCCCCACTGGTAGCCAGCTCTTAAATAGGTCTAGGAGAGGTGGAGCCAGCCTTCACCCATTCTGGCAGCACAGGAGAATTGCCTTCACCTGTGCTCCTCTGGCTGACTCACTGCTCGCCTCAGGTGATCAATCAGAGGTTCAGGCTGTGACTCAGCAGTTCCCATACATCCCACATAACTAGGGACAGGGCCAGAAGGAATGTCCTCAATTCAGGTTGGATATTTGTAACAGATCAATGAAAAACATTTTCTGAATTTGTGTAGTATGCTTGGTATGTCTCAAACACGTGCAAGACAAGGTCACAGCCATGACAACAAATCAAAGCTGTGAAACACAATCCTCTGAAATAACAGGACAGTCCTGTTTTATAAAAAAAGAAAAAAAGCCTATTTTCCTGCAGGGAAGTTTTTACTACATATGCATGTATATATGTATAATGTCTGAGAGAAGCTCAGCTGGTTTTTTGTTTGTTTTATGGGGTTTTTGTTTGTTTGTTTTTGCTGTCTGCTTTTTGCCTGTTGGAGACTTCAACCCCTGGACAAGCACTCCCACTCATTCTTACTCCATCACTGATGTCAAACATCAACCATTCATAGCAGTCAAAACTCAGGAAACTGCAATTAACGTAGCTTTTAAGTTCTTGTACTTCAATGTGAGTCACTTCTTCTGCTGAAGTTACAGTGAAGCATCCTGAGGTAACAAAATAAGTTAAACAGCTACCTCTCTGAATAAACAGGAAAAATAAATTCAAGATTTACATCAAACACAGTTTTTGCCTGCAACATTTGAAGCATCCTAGATGTAAAGACAGGGCCAACTGATGATGCTTCATAGGTCACTAAACCCTGAAATGAGTGTTTCAAGCATTCACGGTCACTAAGCATTCTCCTAATCTGGAAACTTCATTTCTAGCAGCCTCTATTGACAATAAATCAGTTATGATCTAGTTAAGTTCTAGTCAGAAAACAAGTCAGAGAGTGGGCATTATTTGCTTATGCTTGCCTTATCTGTGGAATAATGGTTGCTTAATTACCATGAATACAATTAATTTTACCATGAAGTCAACATACTTCCTAGCTTACATATATAAGCCTACGTAGGCAATGAAGTTTTAAACTTTCTTGGGTAAACAGTTATCTAGCTGATGCTTCACAGAAGGTAGTTTTAAATAATCTCAAAGAAATCAACACATTTGTTTTTGGCAACAGAGCATTAAGCAGCAGCACATTCAGCAGTTCTTTATTCATTTAGGTGTCTTGAACACCTGAAAACAGATGTGAGATGCCTCTAATTTTGGTTGGGATTTTTTTGTTGTTTTGTTTTGAATAGCAGCCTTTCCCTACTTATCATTATACCTGTTGGGTTTTTGTTTGTTTGTTTTAACAGTTGATGAAGTCTCCTTAATGAATGTGGGCTGCAGAGCAGAGAATGACATTCCAAAGACAGTCTGGAAACCTTAAATAACTAAAATACCTAGGGCTAAAATGATAGTTTACAAAGAGTAACAAGCACCTTTCAAGATTCCATGAAATAATTTCTCTAGTCAACATTGCATTTTCATTCTGATTTTGCAGCCTTGTATTTAAGCAGACAAAAAAACATGGCTGTTTCATAATTCAGCATCAATAAATCACTGAAACACGAGTGTCTGAAGATCTGTCAAAACCTTAAAAACCATTTCACGTGACCCAATTAACTAAAAACCAAAGCTACCCATATTCAACAAAGGTTATTAATTGCAGAACATACAAACAATAATTTTGAGATGACTTCATACCCAATTGATTCTTCATCATTAGAGCTGCATCTATCACAGTCCCTTTGCCTTCTTCCTTTTGTAGAAGTGTCTCTGTTGCTGGCACTTAATCGCCACTGAAATAAAACAAACAAAAGTGGAACACTCCAACACACTTCAGTGTCACACTGGACATTACATAAGAAAAATGGAACGAGGCCAGGCATTGGAACAGTGCAATTGATCAGATGGAGCAGAGACACAAAGAATATACACAATAATTTTGTAACATATGGGTTTGTTTACTATAAAGCATCTGTGTACTACTGGGCTTATCTTGCTTCATTTTTCATCCAAAATAATACAGTACAATTCAATTACTTTTGTATTTAAGCTATCACTGCTCCAAATGAATACTTAAATAGTAGGTCTGCTCCAGATAACAACAGTTATGTTAGATATCTTCTTATTTAACTCCATGAATTTAATCAAACAATATTCCATTAAAAAAAAAAAATGCACAATTCTGAGAAACAACAGGAATCTGAAGGCTTCACACTGGCATAGTATGGCAAAACTCACAAAAACAGTAATTCCTTTTTCCCCCTCTCAGTTCTCTTACCTTATAGAATGCAATTATAGTTTTCCATTTAAATAAACAAAAGCCCCACCAAAACACACAGCTGTTTCTGCAATTCCAGAAATCTATCTCTTGTCACTACCTTCTACTCTCGCCTCACATTAAAACCAAACTGAGGCTTGAAAATGATGCCAGGCAGTCTGAAATCACATAAAGATATCAGCAATGCTGTGTAAGCATGCTGTGAAAGGCCATCTGAAAGATTCATGTCCACACCTTAAGAATTATCTCTTTTGCAAGAAAGTATGAAGACCAGGCAGCATTTAAAAAGGCCTCAACTGCATGGAAAAGTCTGTTATATATAGACAGGTAAGAAAAACAAGAAATGGAAAGTAAGACAATATTCAAGAAGTAAGAAGTAATTCTTCAATACATCTAGTCCAATCATTACTTTTACAGAGGCAGAGAGAAAGACAGAGTTATACACACATTACCTGGCTCAGCAAAAGAGGCTGCTGCTTGTGACTGAAGGTTACATTGCTTCCTGCTTCAAAGCAGGAATGCAACTGGATGTTCTACTTGGTTTATTAGTATAGAACATAATACAGCAAGTCTATATTGCAGAGCAATCACATGTCCAGGCCTACCATAAGAAATGGGTCACACTGTCAGCACTCTTGTAAGTCAAAAGAATCCCTAATTTCCCTCACTAGCCTTCTCTGTAGTGGAGCCTGTTTGACCAGTCCTACAGTTCTGAAAGCAACAAAACTGGCAATAAACTTAAAGCTGCACTAAAGCAGTAAAATACATTTCCAAGATTTGGCATTTTAAAAATATTTAGCATACAAATCTGTTGGAAATTCCCTAAACAATTGCTTCTATACATGAGTAAAATGATCAAGATGATCATTTATGCTAATGCAGTTTAAGCACATGTATAGTTTTTTATTCTTACTACTAAAATGAGTTATTCTATTATTATTATTCTATGAAGCCATGCTGTATTTCACCTATTCCAAAATAATCACCAAAATCCAATGTAAAAGTTACTTCCATAGCATTGTGAGAACAACCTGGATAAGCAACCTGAATATTACCTCCAAGTCCAGGAATCAAAAAGCAATGAACTAAAGAAAAATTGCACATAAACACACTTGCCTTTAAACTCTTGAGTTAAAAGTTAACTTCAGGACCTGAGATTACTAAGGAAACCTGTTGAACTATATCTGAGAACCAACTCTGCTTTTTAATGATTTAGGTTGGTGATACAGTACAGATTTCCCTTTCTGTAGCTCTAATACGTGCAGACACGTTTCAGATCTACACGCTTGACCCTTCCATGAAACATGGGTCAGGTACTGATCACATAGGTACAAGGCAGCACTTGGTACTTAAAAGAGCAGAACAAAAAAACCCACACAACTCTCCTATGCACTTTACACTGCAGAGAACTTCTCTTTACCTCTCTTAAAGGGTAGTCCCAATGCTGAGAGCCTGGGAGCCTTGCCAAAGGGGACTGAACTTGAACATCCTCTGACTTGTTGTTTGGTTTCTTCTTTGGTATACGAAACTGAAAATAGAGGATGTTACATGATAAAACTAAATTATCCACTGGTGCTAGGAGCTGACATACTGCCAGATACAAAGTTTTTATAATCATCAGGTAAAATAAAGTCGCAAACAAAGCACTGACCTGTTACTTTAACTTAGAAGTATTCCCATTGATGTTTCATCATAAATCGCTGCCATTCTATCAGGAGCTGGTTTTAACACCAAGAAAAAAAACTGATCTTATTTCATTAATTTCACAACAACCTCAAACACGTGCCCAAAAGGTGAGACCAAAACCAATCCAATGTTACTCCACTTTCTTGGTTCCCTCTAACTTGCTAATGCTCTAATTTAATCTTCGCATCACAGCTTGAAGAGTGATCAAGAGAAAACAAGACAGCTGAATTACGTATGTTTGCTCTCAGAAAATAAAGAACATCATTTATCCTGTCATAGTACTAATGTTTTAATATGACTATTTAGCAATAGCATTCTCCAATGTCCTCAAAATACTATTACCTGTCATCATTACCATCCTTATCAAAATTAAGTATTGAAAATAAAGAATCATACAGTTGTTTGAGTTGGAAAGGAACTTTGAAGGTCATCTAGTCCAACAGCCCTGCAATGAACAGGGACATGTACAGCTAGATCAGGTTGCTTAGAGCCCTTCCATCCTGACCTTCAATGTCTCTAGGGATGGGGCATTCACTGCCTCTCTGGGCCATTAGTAATTCTCAGCAATTTGCCAATACAAGAAATAATAGTAAGAGAGGTAAGTTACTCTCAAGTTGATTAAACACATTAAACAAACTCAACTAAACATAGAAATAGAAACCTAGACACTTCTCCTGGCACCTTGATGTGCAAAATTACAGGCTGCAAACAGGACTAGATTCAAACACATTAGATATGGAATGTAGTGCTAACCTTTCAGTTAATTAAATACATTAGCCCCTCCCCCCAAAAAAAAGCAAAAGCTATTCCACATGACAGCTACTGCGAAGTGCATTGTGAACTTTATTTGCAGGCTATCTGACATCCTACTTTGCAAGATGAAATTACAAGTCAGTATTCTAGAAAAGTGTGAGGCCAGCAACTTTGTTAACACAGAAGCTTCATTCATTAGCTCTGTATGCAGTCCTTTAGATAATAACTGAAGCATATTGCATTGCCAATGAGATAATTCTTCCATTTTTCCACTTAAATCATAATTACTCTTATCCTTCTCTATCCTTCTTTGAATTACTGTTTTAATTATCAGATCTGAATTTCTATACAGAACCTCAAGCTCCTTTTGATATTCAAACAGTAGTGCCAAATACAATATCACATCATAGAATCACAAGGTTGGAAAGGACCTACAAGATCACCTAATCATAAAGGTAATAATATAGGCACACATAGGCAATGCTTTTAATAGAAGTATGTCCCATTTTTTATTAAGAAATTCTGCAATAAGAGGTATTTTGTTGTATGGAGAAATGGCTAATAAACTTTAATATGTCAGGATGTTTTTTTTCAAATCCATGCATTAATGGTGAGGTATCAATTTCTTTAAAAAAAACAACATAGAATCCATCAGGAAGGAAAGCAGCAGGCTATAAGATTCCTGACAGCACAGAACTGTATAAAATTTGCGTTTTGCGTTACAGAGCTTCAGACAACTTCTGTAATAATGTAACATTGAGAAAAAGATAAGGTCAGACACAGAACAGAAACAGATGACCCGACAGGGGGACAAAAAGCATAAGATATATTCATCAGCAAGATTCCCACCTCAGTGCACCACATCCTCAAAACGTTTGTACTCATTAAGATGTCAGTTAGGAATAGCTGCAGTTAACATACAGGACAAACACAGAGTAAAGAGGTAACCAACAGAAGTCTGAATTTACATTAAGTGCAATGTATGTAAACTGCTTCAGCTTTCCCTTAACAGAAAGCAAATGAATCAGCACATATATGCACTTTGTAGATTCACCATCTAAATCAGTAGCATTTATCTGCTACACCCACAGAAGCAAGTCAGAGAACGCATATAAACAGTGTGCTGGAAACATTTTATTTCTAAAACACCAGACAGACCTTACCTGGATCAAACCAGCTGGTGTGCCTACAGTTTGTTTTCACTTGTGCTCCATTGCTAGAAACTACAACTAACATGGATATTTTAAGAGAAAGGACACTAGCATATGGATTCTTACACACATCTCAGTAGATAACCAAAGATTAATCAGTTACACAGCTCATTCACTTGAGTATTATTATTATTGTTTAAGAATTGCTTAAGTTTTAATATGGCCTTGAAAAGTATTCAGTTCATGTTAAACATTAACCCTACATTGTATTAACATGTTCAGCAGAATACATTGCAACTGACTGCTGCTAGCTTAAGCTAGTTCTCAAGAAAGCTGTTCCAACAACTTGAAAACAGGACCCCTGGAGAGTGACTGGTTACATAAGTACAGCCACAGCATCTCAGGACACCCACATCCTGAAAGCTACCTGTTATAAATTGTAAAAGACTTACACTGACATGACTTGAAGGTGATGGTCTTCTTTCCATGACTTTTTCCACTAGAAAAGAAAAACATAACTATATTCATACACATACAAAAAATAAGCTTAGCAATTTACATTTCATTTATTTGGAAGTAATTAAGGTTGCAGCAGTAGGCAGCAAGCAAAAAAACAAACAAAAAACACCCTTTTTCAGGCAGTTAGCACAACATAAGTTCATGAGTAGCCACAATGCAAGAGATGTGCTTCAGCAGGGCTCTGCATTATCAGTGTGTGCATATGGACTCGTTAACAAAGTTTCCACCAGAACTTGTCTCGAAGGAAGGTATTTACCCTGAAGCATGTATAGAATTATGTTTCCTGCTCACTAGAGCATAAGCAGGTCTTTGATCGTAAAAAGTGCCACAGAAAGATATTTGTAACACTGGAACACTTGTAATAATAAAGTAATATAATTCAATTTGTTAACAGATAACCTTCTTTGTCACTGGAAGAACAGAGCTTCAGAACCACAAGTGTTCCAAACCATTTCTTCTGTTTACACATACTCTGCATGAGACACAGAGAGGTCGTAAGCTCTTCAAACCTCACAACCTAACTCAAGAAGCCTAGCTCACCATTTAAGCCTGAATAGTTTTGTTTCCGTCAGCAATTTTTCAGCCCTAAGTTGGACAAGAGCAGTGTGTGTAGGCTACATAAGAGGGCCCGGCCATCGCCAAACCCAACGCCATACCCACAACTCCCGGCCGGCCTCCTGCGGGGCTGATGAACGGCCACTCACAAAGAGCGAGTGGCCGCTCCGCCATCCTCCCTGGCGGTTTCGCGAACATTGAACTAGGAGGTGACGCAGACACCCGCCCACCAGGACTGCGGCTCGCTGCCGGGTTCCGTTATATACCCCCTCTGAACCCCCCCCCCCTCACCCCTTAGCGGTTAAAGGGTTCCCGGAGCCCCGCCTACAGAGCAGCACCAAGCGCACGCTGCAGCCCCTCCCCAGCACCAACCGCTGTGCCGCCACCGTTGTTGTTGTTGTTATTGCTGTCGCCGCTACTGCCGTTCGCTAAGGCCCCGCCACCGCCCCCTGCGCAACTCCGCCGGTTACTTCCGGGTAGAGCCCCGCCCGAGCCGGGGGAACCGGCCCCGCCTGCTCAACAACGGCTGCCCCAGCGCCGACCCCGCAGGCGGCCCCTCGCAGGCCTGCCCGCCTGCAGCAAGGCTACGCCATTGGGAGCTGTGGCGGCGCTCGGCTTTAACTTTCTCCCACAGCCCGACTGGGACCTAGAGGGCAAAGCGGGTGTGACTCTTAGTGGCGGCCAGCTCGCGTCTGGCGAATTGATGAGCCACAGAACAGCGGGGCTGTCGAGGAAGCTAGTGCTAAAGGAGGGGAAATTGTGATCTCTGAGGGAACGCTACGGAAAACGGCTTGTTGCTGTTTGGTTGTTTTCCAGTAATTTCTAACCAAACGAAATGAAGTTTATATTGCTCCTCGTCGACCCCATTTTACTACTGAGACTTTCACCTCCATTTCAGTCAGAATCCTGAAGGTGGATTCATAGTTTAATTACAACTCAATTTGCACTGCCCCACCCTCATGCATCACATGTATACTGCCAGAACTTCCACAGCCCCATATCATACCATGTCACAGAATGGCCTGGGTTGAAAAGGACCACAATGATCATCTGGTTTCAACCCCCCTGTTATGTGCAGAGTCACCAACCAGCAGACCAGGCTGCCCAGAGCCACATCCAGCCTGGCCTTGAATGCCTCCAGGGATGGGGCATCCACAGCCTCCTTGGGCAACCTGTTCAGTGCGTCACCACCTCTGTGTGAAAAACTTCCTCCTAATATCTAACCTAAACCTCCCTTGTCTCAGTTTAAAACCATTTCCTCTTGTCCTATCACTACCCACCTTCGTAAATAGCCGTTCCATTTACTGTTTATATGCTGCATTCAAGTACTGGAAGGCCACAATGAGGTCTTCCCAGGGCTTTCTCCAAGCTAAACAAGCTCAGTTCCCTCAACCTTTCCTCACAGGAGAAGTACTTCAGCACTTTGATCATCTTAGCGGCCCTCCTCTGGTCCCTCTATAAGAGCTTCATACCCTTGTGCTGGGGACCCCAGGCCTGGACGCAGTACTCCAGATGGTACCTCACAAGAGCCAAGCAGAAGGGGAACAATCCTCTCCCTGCTGGCCACACCTTTGTGCTGAAATTTAAAAACTCCTGCAGCTGAGTAGGCTGGCTCCAGCTCAGCATGCAGTGGAGTAACAAGCTCAGCTGATGCAATGGTTTCCAGCTGGTGGCCTTGGAAATCCTTATAAAGACAAAGATCTTTTTCTTTTTCCTAAGGTGGCTTTAGAACTGTAAGTTTGATGTGTGGTTTTCTGAAGTAATAACAACTGTTTTCTCTACTTATTAGCATAATACTTTTATATCAAGTAGTAGAAAGCTCTGCAGAGCTTGTTTTAATAACTGCCACATGTAAAAGAAACTTCTGTTCAGGTGTAAAATACAAACACAAGATGTTAGATTGGAACTACCTGAAACTAGAGGTGACCTTAGCTGGCAGGATAGATTTCATAAATGTATTTAAGACTAATATACATAAAGTAATGGAACCTGAACTAATGTGGAACTTGTTTTCTTTGCACAGAGAAATTGCCTACGGTCCCAGAGTCAGAAAGATTTTCATCTGTGATGATGGCAGACTTTACAGGAGAACATACGGTAGGTAATGTTGGGTCTTGCTAGAATAAATTGTTAAATGGCAAATCTCCTGAAGAGTAATGCTTATGTGATTTATACTTCAGTGATGTTTATAATGTGGTAAGTGATGTGTAAATGCTAACTAAGTTTACAGGTGAAATATGTTAAAATCACACAATCACCAAGATTGGAAAAGATGATCATCCAATCAGATGACCATCCATCTACCACAAATATTCAGTTACACCATGTCCCTTAGTACCACATGTAAGTGTTTCTTGAACACCTCCAGGGCCAGTGACTCAACCACCTCCCTGGGCAGCCCATTCCTTATCTTTCAATATGAGCAGAAAAAAAGTAAGGGAAGGAAGGGGAATGGGTGTGTTTGTTATGTCTGTTTCTCCCCAACAGTATTTTTTTTTTTTTTTTAATCAAAACAGTGCTTGTAAAGTCAGCTAGAATACACACCCTTGAATACTGTTTGTATATAGAAATGTAGCACAAGCAGTTCAAACTGATTTAGGATACAGACTTATAAAAAAGAAAGAAATATATTATGCAACTGTTTCAAAAATAACAACTGCTGATTTTTAATTTTACACGTGGCAATGCAGGTATAAAATCTGTCCTCCAAGCTAGTTTATGCTCTGAAGTGCTGTTCATTAATACTTACTCCTTGCTACTACTAGTTGGTACTAACTTGCTAATCATAATGTGCTGGAAAACTGCAGACTCATTTTTTTAAGGATGAGAAAAAGACAGAATTGTTGGATAGCATGATAGTCTGTGAGGAAACTGCACTTACCTTTTCCTGTTTGTTGTAGAATGCTTTCTCTGCACTTTACTCAAAGGGAAAATGGGCATGCTGTTCCTAGCATAATTGTTGTCAACTGATCACACAATTTGAAAAATCATATGATGGTCTCCATTTTCAGTTGTAGTAACCTTGTGGGGAAAATTGAGGCATGGACTCCTTTCTCCTTATTCCCAGATAACACTAGTTAATTCTGTCATTCCACATTGTGGAAATTATAGAACAAGTAATTGTTCTAGAAATTCAATTGTTCAAGAAATTATAGAACAAGTGCTTACAAAGGAAAGGTTTGTATCAGTGTACTGCTGTTGCAAAAGGAATCTGGCTTTTGAGCAGGCTTACCAAAAGCAGTGAATGCTTTGTGTGTAACCACATGTAAATATTGATTACACTACAGCATGCTTTATGTAACTGTTGTATGGTGGTCTATTATTACATTAGCGTAATTTTCTTAATTTGCAGTGGTTACAAACAGGACATGAACTAAGCTTGAGGACACTAGTAGAGGGTTCAGATTATCAAGAGGAACTGAAGTATGATTTTAATGAAAAAGGGGAACTGAGGCATCTGGATACGAATGAATTCTTTGTTTTCAATTACTACAAAAACACCCATGAGAAGAATCATAAACGCTATCAAGTTTTAGGACATATGATTACCCAGTATGTTTATGAGCTCCTGCAAAGAGTCTGCGCACTGCAAAAAGTTTACATTCCTTCTGATGCTACAGAGGATGAACCAAGAAGTTTCTTTTTTATGAGTGAGAAAGCACTAACAAGTTCTTCTAGCATAATTGTCCTTCTTCAGGACCGTGGAGTTTTTCGTGCTGGCCAGTGGGGACACAAGACAATCATCAGTGAGGGGCTGTACCATGGAACACAAATACCGTTCATCAAAATGGCCCTTCAAAGCCACGGGGGAGTGATTGTACTGAATCCCAATGACAATCTCATTGACTTGAAGACTGAAAGGGAGAAGCTAAGCTATTCTACCAGAGAAGAATCACTGACTTGTATGCATTCCTGCCAGTGGATCACCAAGCGATGCAGCAGTAGCCCAGAGGAGCATACCATATATGTATGGGATCATTTCATTTCTAAAAGTGCAGCCAAGTATGTGGCTTTCATTGCCCATGGCTATGGTGGTTTGGTGTTCATTGATCTGCTCGTGCAGAGAAAATGGGAAGTGATGAATAAAGTGTTTTCTGTGGCATTCATTGATTCCATGCACAATATACAGCATCAGGCTAGAAATGACCTGCAGATACAATGGTGGATACAGAACCACTGCCGTGAATGGGTATCAAACAATAAGCCTTTAGGTAAAGCTGTAGGCTCCCTTGTCAAAGTGAATTGTCCAACTGTCTCTGCTGGAACTGAAAAGTACAGCTTAGCACCTTCCTACTGCTTGCGTTCCATCTTTAAGTACCTGAACAGCACCCTGAAAGCCAAGACCACCACGGCCTTTACACGTTCACCTATTGCAACTCGAAGCAGCAAAAGTTGGTAAATCAAGGTACACTGACTTGGGTTTTGATAGTAATCTCTTTTTTCCATAACCATCCCTACAACTAAGATCCTTCACTATGGAGAGACTTACAGTTTTAAGTTTGAAGACACTTGTATTTTTGTGTTTCTCAAAAATGAAGTTAACCGTGAGGAAAAAAATGCCTTCTTGAAAGCTTTAGGTCATATCCCTTCAGCTAGCTGTGACATATAAAGCTGCACAAAATAAAGATGTTAACTTATATCAACACTTGTCTGTACAATCTTTTAAATTGTACTTTCTATGGTGACAGCTTTGTAGTTGGACTAAATGATCAACAAAACTCTAATTTCTTAAGTGCATAAAAGGACAATTCTGGAATACACAAAGTATGCAAATGTGCAATTTTAAATCCAACGAAATCAGTGAGGCTACACAGAGTGACTTGCTGGGGTTATAAAATGTTAGCAACCTACAGTTATCAAACTGATACAAGAGAATGATGTAGCTGTTTCCTCTCAGCTGTTTTATCTTTTATAGAAGTGGGAAACAGTTTAAGTGTCCACATGAAAGGCTTGCAAATTACTAAAGGAAAAAGCCAAATAGTTTTTAAATATGTAAAAGAAAAAGCTATTCTGAATTTCCAGTTTAATTGTGTGGGAATTAAAAGCACCCCATGTCTGCAAAAGAGCTCTGAAGGCTGATGGTGCCTTGCCCTACATCTTCAGATCCCATCTTATTAAGAAAAAAATAATTGCTGAACAGTAAGATTTGGAACAAAAAACAGTGTCAAATTCCCTTTATGTTATTATTATGTTCATCTGTTTCTGATTTTAGTAATTTCTGATGCTGTCTGAAAAAGCTTTCATACCGTTACGTAGTAATGGGTAGAAATATAAAATTCCATTGGAAAGGCACAGAGAGGTAAGTACTTTCAGTAACAACTGCAGCTTTTTAAATACAGCTTGGCTAATATCATATTTGAATGAAAGTAGTATTGAATTAATAGAGTACACTACTGTTTAGTTCACTTATGAACATTGTGCTGATGCCATCATTATGCATACAAGCAGCATATCTGTTCTACAGCTGCTGGTCAGCATGACACTCAAGTACAGTCACTTACGTGAATTGTAGATGTTAACAAGTAGCTTTATTTGTGACAGAAGTACTAAGTGACAGAATGTCTGTCTTCAGAAAGAGACCAATATGATCCTTCACTATAAATGCTCAGTGTGCCATGGTGTCAGCAGTGGATAAAAATGCTGAGGAAAAACATATCTAGAATATCTGCCATTCCCATAACTCTTTAACTCAGGTCAGCCACTAAATTCCTTGGTAAAGAAGGTCATATTTAGGAATATTGCTGGGATCAATAGGACTTCTCACAATAAGCTTTCCGCGCATGGCACCACGGTAAATCACTTCAATCAGATCTATGAAGTCTTGCTTTGTTTTGAAGCTTCCTACAAATTTGGTGTGATCTGGAGACCTAAAGATAAGCATAGAATAAAAGTAGTATTGAAACATTGAAACATTCAAAACAAAAACATAGACAAGAAAAGTTGTATAATGAAATTAAGGATTTTGACTTGTTGATTCTGAAAGAACCACATCAACCAAGTCAGGAATATACTATGACCTGATATCCGAAGTCCAAGAAGGTGCAGTGTTGTGTCTAGGGTTTTAATCATGCCCTGTTTTACAGAGTCCAGCATATTTCACAGCTGGTACCTACTTACAATGTCAGAGTGTTTCAAACTACTTTTTAATGCTATGTACTTCCACCTTCTCACATATCAGTGCAGATTCTATCAACAGCAATACAGTTTTCAAGCATTACCTGTTGTAGACAAGGTAACACAGAGACTGTTAAATTACTATAAATGTAACAGACAATGTCAGGTGGGATGACATACCCATAATCAACCTTCATGTGCTGTCCATTGAAGAAAAATACGGTGGATGGAATATAGCTGATGTCAAAATACTGGGTGTACACAGGAACCTTGTTCACATCCACCAGGTAGATGACTGCCATCTTACTCAGGTCATGAGCTGTCTTGGCAAGCTGACAAGAATGAGGCAGACAGGGAGAAAATGGATTGAGACAGAAGTGGTAATAAAGGCATCAAGCTTTATGAAGCCCATCTCCATTAGATCCTATCAGTTTAAGCAGGGCTGGAATGTCCCATCTACCTCTAGCACTTTATACATGCATGCATGCTAAAGTGTCAAACTGTCGAGGGTATGAATTCGTGTTACTTTTAAGTGTCAGCCGCAAACACTACCACCATCTTTATCAGGCACCCTATCACCCAAACACAACCTATGGCACTGTCCTGTGAACAACAGGTATATCTGGAGTCTTCATTTATATTGAAGGAGAAAAAAAAAAAAAAAAAAAGGAAAAAGATAAAAAAAAGACCTCTTACAATATCATCGAGCTGCAGACAGACAGCATCGTTATCTCTTCCGAACCGGAGGACCAAAACCTTCTCTGCCACGCTCTTTATGGCCTGATCCACCTCCTTCTTAGAGCTCAGCTTGGGCAGCAGGAAACTCATCCTGCCAGCGCGCAGCCTCTACCGACCCCCCTCTCCTGACGATCACAGAAAGAAAAAAAAAAAAAGATGAAGGATGACAAAATGAAATCAGCGAGCCAGCCCGCCCGCGCCGGGAGCCCAAACGCGCGGAGATACAGCCCTGGGGCTCCGACCGTTGCAACGGGCAGGTGATCGCCGGAACGACTGTTCAGAACCCGCAGAACGCAGAGATGGGCCAGCAGGCCCGGGCAAGAAAGCGAACGGACTGACTCCTCCCCGCGCACGCGCGGAGCCGCGCTCCCGCCTTCCCGACGCGCAGGAGATGGCGGCGAGGATCGGGGTCGTGTGCGGGAACTGTTAGTCGCGCTCGCCCAGGTATGTAATCTCCTTTAGTAGGGTTGATCATTAGCATTCCTCCTCTCCCCAGCAGTAGGCCTTAAGATCAGTTTGGGTTTGGTTCATAGTGCAGCCTCAGAAATCATAGAATTGTTAAGGTTGGAAAAGACCGCTGAGATCATCTTAGTCGAACCATCAGCCCATCACTACCATGCGCCCACTGTATTCCTCAGTGCCACATCCACACGGCTCTTGAAATCCTCCAGGGACAGTGACTCCACCACCTCCCTGGGCAGCCTGTGTCAATGCCTCACCACTACTGAGAGGAAACTTTTCCTAATATCCAACCTGAACCTCCCCTGGTGCAACTTGAGACCTTTCCCTTTTATCCTATCCCTGTCACACGGGAGAAGAGGCCAACCCCCACCTCACTACAACCTCCTTCCAGGTAGCCCTAGGAAGCAGTAAGGTCTGCAATCCCAGTTCCCTCAGCTGTTCCTCATAACATTTGTGCTTCAGACCCTTCAGCAGCTTCATTGCTTCTCCTTGGACACTCTCCATAGCCTCAATTTCATTCTTACAGTGAAGTATTTGTGCTGCTAAGAGAGCCAGGAATAAGGACCTCAAGGTATATAAGCGTTCCTTCCTTGGCAGTACTGTTGGCTTTGCAAAACTATAGCAGTGGTAGTTGTAGGAGCTCAGCGTCCTATTATATGGAAGCGTATAGAAGAATTAAAACAGGTACTAAAATAAAAAAGAAATTAGGTAGGTGTCTGGATGTAGTTTTAAGTTATTTTCAGTCTCCATGCAGCATTCTGCTTGCTTCTGTTGCAAAGTTCGTATTTGTCAAATGGTAGCTGAAAATGAACACTACTGAGAGACTGACTGCATTTTGAATTGCATTAGGTACAGCTGTTTTAAGCAGTAGAGCTAAACACACCTGTTCGTAACAGTGCCATATACGTTGTTTTTAAGTACAGTAGAAAAGCAATAGTGGAAGGAGGAATTCCTGGTATTCCTCAGGAAGTAACTTGCTGTCTGTCAGCAGTAATAAGGATGAACATCTATGTTTTCTTCATGACTTCTGAGAAGTTTTTCCCCCTCTTGTGCTTTTTTGCAGATAATTGTTTGAACACAGCACATGTTCAAGTATGCGGGCTGCTAATTTGCTTCTGAAAAAAATTGTAAGATGCTCTGCCTTCTCATTTTCAATACAGCATGGGATGAAACGAGATTTGTTTCCACTGAGTAGAACTCTGATTCTGTCACCTTGCCTGAAAGAGGACAATTCACGCAGTTCCTCAGAAAAAGTAGATTTGGATGCGTGGAAGAAAGTAATGAAGTCTGGGTTGCAGGATGTCAGTGAGACAGTCTCTGAGCCTAAGGAGATCTCTGCTTTGGCTGCGGCACGTGAGACTTTGGAGTTGTGGAGGCTAGTTGGTAGAGCAGTTCCTGAAAAAATCAGTGAAGAACAGCTAAAAGCTTTTATAGAATGTCCTTCCAAATCAGCCCAAAAGAAGTATTTAAAATTTTTGCATCTTAAAGAACTGTATAAGAAAAGCAACAAAAGAAAGATGGATGAAAAAAGGGAAAGGAGGCTGGAAACGCAAGAGGGAGCTTCAGAAACTGAAGAGCCCAAGAAGAATCCATTTGTTTGTTTGTGGAGCAGCTCTATGGATAAAGCATACAACTGGAGAGTTGCTCAGTCTATGATCTTTGGGCAACCTCTAGTGTTTGATATGTCTTATGAAAAGTACATGTCTGTCAGGGAAGTAGCAAATACAGTGAGACAAATAGTATTAAGTGAAGGCTGTAATCGAAGATCTGTGGATCCGTTCCACATTCACTTCTGTAATTTCAAAGATGATAGTCTGTATCATAAGGAATTTATCAAACATTATAGAGGAGCGTGGGACAAACTGCTTATCACAGTGACAGACCAGTGCTACACAAACATCTTTCCAAAGGATAAGCTTGTCTATCTGACTGCTGATTCTCCCAAAGTAATGAAAACTTTTGATCATAACAAAATCTACATTGTCGGGTCTATAGTTGACAAGAGTATAAAAACAGGAGTTTCTTTAGCACAGGCAAAACGACTGGGGCTAGAGACTGCAGCCCTTCCATTGGAGAAATACTTGCTGTGGAATTCTGGTGCTAAAAATCTCACGCTGGATCAGATGATGCATATTTTATTAACCTTGAAAGATACTGGAGATTGGAAGAAGGCTCTGGAATTTGTTCCCAAAAGAAAGTACTGTGGCTTTGTAAACAAGCCTATGCATGAACTGAAAAAAACCTTAAACTTGATCAACGTGCTTAAACTTGGGAAGAGACCAGAAGAATCACAAAAGCGATTTGCAAACAACTACTCCAAGAGGCTAACACAAAAATAGAGTGATGGAGAAGAAAATTATTTCACAGGCAAGCTATAACCCTAAATGTGCCAATTTCTTGAGACTTCTGGGACTGTATTCTGTAATTACTGTTTGTCACTAAAATTTATTGGACTAGTTCAAAAAGACTTTCGTTAGAGCGTTTCTTTTTTTTAATGACTGTGTTATTGGGTCTGCTTGAATTTACTTGCACACTTCTGAAATTATGCAATAGAAATTAGATTACACCGTATATGAATCTGTTCACTGGAGTCATAATGGCTAAGGGTGATTCTTAAAAAATATGAAGTTTGTTCTCCAAGGAATACCTGAGTGCTGTGGGTTTGCAAATCCACAGCCTTATTCTAAAAGATTAGGCGAGACCAAAAAGAAGACACTTTTCCTTGTTTTTGGTGCATAAACTGACATTAGACATGGAATCACAAAATTGTTAATGCTGGAAAAGACCGTTAAGATCATCTAATCCAACCACCAACCCATCCCACCATGCCCACTAGCCATGTTTCTCAGTGCTACATTCACACAGTTCTGAAACACCTGTAGGGATGGTGATTGCAACACCTCCCTGGGCAGCCTATGCCAATGCTTCTCTGCTCTTTTAATGTGAGTTTGGGGAGTTGTGGAAGTTGCGCGGTTTGTCTCTGAGTGTTCTGGGACAAAGGAATTCACAGTTAGGAAAGAATATCCCAGAGTTTCCTGAACCTGCCAAAAAATACCTCGCGCTCTTTTGAGTGGCTTTTCCCTGCGAATGACTGTTTTCAGTCTGTGTACTGCACATTTGCCAGACTACTGGAAGTTCTGAGATGATAAAGTCATCTCAGTGAATACTTAAAGACGTGCAGAGTGCCTTTTATTTTTTATGACAGCTCAGTGTACATGGATCAGTCTGCAACACCCGGTGGTCAGACTGCAGGGCGTCAATGGGCACCGTATGAATGCGAGAAGCATCTGGATTCGTTCATAGGCAATTAAAGCGTCTTGATTTCATCAATTGCGTATGCTGGTGCTTCAAATTACCGATCGCATATAGTGGTTTGTATCCAGGAAAACGAAGAACGGGGCCCTCTGATTTATTTTTTTTTCTAGTGAGGAAACGGCTGGGAGAGAGGGAAGCGGGATGACTTTGCCGCAGTCCGGAGAGCATCACTCAGCTCGCGCCGGCTCTGGCCCCCGCCTGCCGGAAATGTACCACACGAGCGCCGCTTGAACTTCTTTCCGCCCTCCATGCGCGGCTTCCGCTTCCGGTACGGCCGCTGTGCCTTCTCCATGGCCGTGGGAGGAGCGGGAGGTGGTGGAGCCGCGACGTCGCGGCGCGCATGCGCTGCGCGGGAGGCGGAGGCGGGGGAAAATGGCGGACGGCAGAGCGGAGGGGGAGAAGGCGAGGCGGCCGCCGCCCGCAGGAGGTGAACGTGCAGCGCCTCTCGCCGCGGGCCCGTGGGGCGTGCTGTGGGACCGGGGGCGTCCCCCGGGGGTGGGGGGCGCGGGGAGTGCCGCCCCAGGGGCGGATAGACTGGCCTGGGCCGGGCCGCGCTGCGCTGCGTCGTGTGCCCGGCCCTGGGGTGAGGGGCGGCCCGGGCCTGACCGGGCCTGAGGGGCTGCGCGGAAGGGGAGGCCGCGGGCTGGGCACGGCGCCTGGGGCCGCTTCGGCCTCATGGCAGCGCTTGTGGCCGGCGAATTCGCCCTGCCGCGCTAAGGCGTTCTCTTATTTCTTTATTTTAATGAAAAAATACGCGGAATAATTCTGCCGTGTATTGAGAGAGATTTCACGATTACCATTGAAACACTCAACGTTGGCTTTAACAACTGAAGCGCCTGGGGAGTAGTGATACAGTGAATATCCCCTGTGTGCCATCTTGAGCATCACAAGGTGTTTTTTTTTTTGGTTTTTTTTTTTTTTTTGCTTGGCAGCAATCCACAAGTTTATTATTTAGTTTTGTATTATTTAGATATTTCTGTCTCCTCATGTACTGCTTATCATTGGTTCTCCTGGAATGTTTTATCATGTGTCTTTCCTTCTTGCCTGCTTTCTTTTTGTATGACTTAACATTGGGAAAACGGTGACTTGTTAAAGCTTCCCTTCCCTGGTTTTGAATTAAATATTGCTAGAAACAGAAGGCACTTCTTTGATCTGTTGGAAGATTAAATTTGGCTTGTAAACCAAATAGGATAGTGTTAAGAATGAATCGTATGTCTGATCACCAAATATGAGTGGTGATTCCTGGATTCATGTTCTGTTTTTATTATTACTACTTTATTTCTCATTTTGTGTGTGCAATATTATAACTGGCCAGTATTACTCTGCCCAGTGTCCATACTGTACCACCTACTTCTCTGGTGTGCTGGAATGTGATGTTAATGAGTTATGTTACATTAGCCCTAATGCTGGCTGTTATTCCCCAGTGACTTTTTAAAGCAATCTAGAGCCTTCTGTTTTTTGCCAAAATCGATGTTTTTCTTCTCGAAGTTAACGTAGTTGAAATTCAGTCCCACTCCTGGGGGAAGATAGCCCAAAATGCTCTGCATTCAGCATTGTTGCTCTTGTCACTTCTAGCATCAAGGCAGTGAAAAGATGTCCACGTGCACGTACAGCTTGTTGATGCCTGTGAGGAAAACTCAAATATGAAGCAGTGTGGCTTCTTATCATAGAATTATAGAGTATCCTGAGTTGGAAAGGACCCAGAAGGATCATCAAGTCCAACTCTTGGTTCCACACAGAACCAACTAATATTCAAAGCCTATGTCTGAGAGCACTATCCAAAAGATTCTTGAACCCAGCAACTTGGGGCCGTGCCCTCAGCCCTGGGCAGCTCATTCCATGCCCACTGCCCTTTGGTGTGGAACCTGTCCCTAACCCCCAGCTGCTCCTCCCCTGACACAGCTCCATGCTGATCACTTGGATCCTATTGCTGTCACCAGAGACAGTGTTGTTACTGTGATCCATGAAAAAAGCACTGGTCAGAGGTAGATTTCCAAATAGCAGTGGTGCTTGTGATAGGTGAAATAGGGCTATCTAGAAATCCCTAGGAAATAGTAAAAATTCTTTAAAAATATGTCTGCATTGGCTGGGGAAATAACAGAGACCTGCTTAAGGAATGATCTGCATCTTTGTTTCTAACTGTTTCCTCTGGAAATAGAATAGTACAGCAGTTCCTCCCCCCCGGTTGTCTTGAGCCATTTGTAGCACCTTCATCAAGCAAGTTTTTGTAAGGAAACCATTTATTTCAGCAATCTGCAGTCTGTCCCAAGTAGAGCCTGGCAAAAGCAATGGCAGTAGGATCTAATTTTGTGAGGGAGGCTATTTAACATTTCCTGGAGAAGGGTGAGAAAAAGTGTGTGGGAGTTGGTACAGCCAACTCTAGATGGTCTCAGGCTTCATGTTTGTTTAGTGATGTTCTAGAATTTGCAGTCAAATTATTAAGCTGTAGGGTATCATAATTTGATTTAGCTTCAAGCCAGCGAGAGTTTAGGAGCCTGGAATGGTCCAGTGTGACCTGAAGTTTGAGCTGTTGTGGTTGCCTTAGAGGCAGGCTTCTAGATCAACCATTCCAAAGCTTTCCGGGCCATTGAATCTTATCCCTGCCCTCACATCACCTTGCAAGCTGTGATGTACCTAGGTTAGAATAGTAATTGAATATTCTGTTTCATGAAAAAGCTGTAAAGAGCTTCTCATAGCCCTGGAAAGTTCTGTTTGAAAGCTGTCTTAAGAGAGCAACCGGTACCCAAGGTCACTAGTGAAAATGGTGCCTGTTTCTCTTTTGTCTTTGTTGCTTTCACGCTTATAATTTGAGTCAGATTTCCAGTGATGCAGACTAGTGCTATTTTTTAATAGAGTGAAGTTAGAATTTTTTACATCTGTGTAAGAAAGAAATTTGTTATCTACCATTTTCCCAATGATGAATGAGAAATCAATTTTTGTTCCTGTCTCTCACTATCTTGACAACTTGAACATTAGGGTAGAAAGTCTATATGTTCTGTTACTGAGACAACACTTCTGATTTAGGAAGTAGCAACACAGAGTTGGTAGATAGGTAGTAAGTGTACTGAATGGATGCCTGAAAAATGTCAATATTGAGCAGCAGTGAAAATTAAGGCAATTAAAAACAAAACAAATAAGTACCGCTACCAAAACCCAACCCAACAGACCTGCCAAATTGGAGCGTACGTCTTTCATTTTTTCTTTTCAGGATTTCCTCACGTCCTTAATTTTCCTTTCTCCTGACACTCTTTGCTTTTTTCTTCTTTTTTTTTTTTAATTTTAATCCCAGAGGTACAATCTTGTGACCCCCAGTTCAGACTAGCTTCTCCCCCATTGCTCTGCTTTATTTGTCTGCTTTTTGTTGCTAGAGAGCAATACCAAGAACTTTTCTTCCCTCATAGTCTGAATTTGCTGTTTGCGGAGAGTCTTCTTCTCAACTTGATGAGAAACCACTGCTGGTTTTTCTTAGACTGATAGTATGAGCACTTGCCTGTCTTTTCTCTAATGCATGCTTTTCTTTTTTTTTTTTTTTTCCATCTGCTACTGCAGTGATTTGCTTATTGCAGCAGCAGAGAAATGTATTTTTGCTGAAGTGTTTGCTATGTTCACTGTGAGTGTTCCAAGGGCACCTTTGTCCCTTGGCATAGCTGAGGCAACCGCGTCTGTAGGAAATGAAAATGTGATTCAAGTCCTTCTTCTGTGGACCACTGTTCAACTACTGTGTTCTTCTACGATTTTATGCAAAAATAGAAAAGATGAAATCTATATATATGTTTTCTCAGTGCTGATTCCTTTCTCAAGCAGAGCTTGGCAAATTTATTACAGATGAGATGCGGACAAGCAGTGACTTGAAAAATGACTGAGACAGCCGGCCTGACTGTAGGCACTTCCCTGGTCTTAGAGTTGTGCCAGACAGGCCAAGAGACTGGCATGGACACGTTGTTATAAAAATTTAGTAGAATTAATTTTAACTTAGGTCATCTGCTCTAGGTTTGGAATTGGGATTCTAGTTTGTGAAACTTTATCTATTGCAACTTAAACCCTAAAGAGATTTAGTCATCTGCACTTAATTTACTACGTGAACTTTGACTTCCATACTAAATAAATAGATTGTGCTTCAAGATTCTTTTCGTGGCTCGTACATGGGAAGTTCTGTATTAATAGTGGAGTGCTTGTGATTTCTTCTGCTTTGTGTTTTGCTGTCCACTAAATGTACATTGGTGACAACTGCTGTCACTTAAAGCACCTAACCTATTGCACTCAAAGTATAATGCTTTTTGAGGTTGCTGCTCCCATCAATCTGCTCAGTAAAAATAGCTCATCTTGGTAAGTTGTTTCGACTTCACCAGGACCTGAAGAAGAGGCAGAAAAACCTGTGAAAACTAAGACTGTTTCTTCCAGTAATGGAGGGGAAAGTTCGAGTCGCAGCGCAGAGAAACGGGCAGCTAATGAAGAAGCTGAAGACTTTATCACAAAGCCTGCCCCTGCCAAAATGTCCAAGTTTGGATTTTCCATAGGCAGTCAGACATCAAAGAAGGCATCTGCAATATCCATCAAACTAGCAGCAAATGTAAGTTGTCTGCGGGCTTTGAATTTTAAGGAAAAGGGGATGTACTGTGGGGAGGCTTCCTTGCAGAAGGCAGATCTTGAATGAAATGTGGGTGACTTGGATGAAGATTAAGAAAGCATTGCAGAGCCACCTAGTCATGCATATGTAAGTACTTCAAGGTGATTAATACCAGGTCAGTTGTCTTAGGAAGCATAAAACCTGGTGGAAATTAACTATAGATCTCTGAATACGCACAGTAATTTTGTAATGAAATTTGATAGTCTGGAATAATTTCCTGAGGGAAATGAGCAGACTCATTAATCTGTTCAAGTCACTTTGAAATGAGAGCTGGGAGCTTCGTTGCATGGGATGCTTAAAGCTTCATGAAAGCAAGCGCTCTCTGAGGTGGCCTTAGTAAGTCTTCCATTCTGAAGATCTTGTCTTTGCATGGGGCAGTGTAGTTTGTTTTTCATAACTCAGCTTGTTACTTGCAAGGTCAGTGTGATTCATTTCCTGCTGCATGTTTTGTAACCTTTTTGAAGGATTTGTTTGAAAAGACAATTGAAATAATGTGCAAGAGATAAGACCTCATTGCACAGATCTCTAAGAATTCTTATGCTTTGCGATAAACAGTGAAGGTTATCCTTGTGCTTGTTCTGAAGTGAACCTGATGCTTCTCCTTACTACAAAGTAGACCTGTACTAGCTCAAGCAAGGAGAAGCCAGATGCTCCCCTTGTATTGAATGGTTCATTTATACTTCCCTTATACATTCCACTGCGATGGCTAGGTTATAGATTCTTGTCTGGATTAAGTTCAGACTGTAATCATGAAAGACTTGCACCTGCAGTGCCAGCATTGTGCAGATCTGCAGAAGATGAAAAGAGTTGTCTGTTATTTTCACATGGGAAGGAAACCTGGGCTAGCAGCATTCCAGGGTATAAACACAATTAGGTCAGATCAGACTGAAAAATTGGCAGATCTGCCTTCTGAGCAACTAGCAAACTCAGATTTTTCATGTAGGAAGCTATTTCCAATGGCAGTAAATTTATCTCAGGATTTCTGGCTCACTGAGTTTAGTGGGTGATTGACATTGTACCATTTATGACAGTGCTGTAGCTCAGCCTGTTTCCTTTTAGTTTAGTTTTTTTCCTTTTTTCTTACTATGCTACCCATTCCTCTGGAGCTGATGCTTTTAAGAGATGACACAATATTTATATACTATAGGATATTGGATGAGCTGTAGGCAGTGGTCTGAGGATTATTCCGCAGTATCAGCTTCCAAAATATGAATGTATACAAAACGATAACCAGTAAAGTGGTGATGGATGAAGCAGTGCATATAATTGATTTAGATAAAAGTGCTGTTGAAGCAAGCTGTTACTGATGATTCAGCACTTCCTTAGTGGTCTTGCAGAGAAGACATCAGAAGTGACTCTATTACATGTGGCGATCATGAGTTCAATAGCTTGATGTGCTTGAAATAGTGGAAGTTATTTACCAGAAGTCTAAAAAGTACTTTTTCAGAGGACCTTTATACTGTTCAGGCCTCTGTAGCGTGAGTGACAGAAAGCTGTTTATCTGTGAAAAAGCAAGAAAATAAATGTATCCAACTTCTTGGCATTAATGAGTACTCCAAAAAGAATAATGAAAATGGTAGCGAAGTAAAATTCTTAATACAACAGCTTATTTGGGTTCTGATCTAATTGTTCAAGTCATGCACCAGTGGCTGTGTGTCCCCGCAGTGTGCTGGTAAGTTGAGATTTACTTATGGGGAGCTGTAATCTGAGAAGGCTCAACCAGCTTTTCGAAGAATTTTTTGCACAGATGAGCAGCCATTTTCCTTTTCATCAGAGAAACCTTCATCTGTTCTGATTCAAAAGAAACCTTCATCTGTTCTGATTCAAAATAAAATACTTTTCCTCCTCATTGCCCCCTTCAGTTTCAGTGAAAATGTTTGACTTTGTTTTACCGTGTTATTTAAAATGCAAAGGGTAGCTTTCTTTTTTTTTTTTCTTTTTTTTTTTTCTTTTCTTGAGTTAGTAGATTTAACTTTACTCGTGTATTTGGTCTCTTTCAGAAGCCTAAAGAGCCCGTTCCAACCCTTGCTCCAAAAACCCTTTCTGTAGCAGCGGCTTTCAATGAAGATGAAGATGTGAGTAGTAAGCCGGTGATTGACACAACTTAGAGTCCCATTGGTGCAGGTTAGAGTTAGGAGGAGACAGCAAGTCATTTAATTTTTTTTTTTTTTTTAATATAAGTGACAGGGATTTTATGCTTAGAAGCATCTCCTGATTTTCCATTTAAGTATGTACAATTCTGTAGTACTCTACTGGTTCAAAAATTGTTAAATATACTGATAACTTTTCCTTGAAAACGAAATATACATCATTGGAATTACTGGTTGCTTTCTCTGGGCTTCATAAAAGACAGGCAAAGAGAAGTTCTGCTCTTTTTGGTTTCTTAAGTATTTCATGGTCGTGTTGCTGCTCCTTCTTGCACAGAGATGATCAGAGGAATTGTTTGTTTTTATTTATTTTTTCTAAATCACATTGCTTTCCTGTTGGGCTGCATTCATAATTTAGCATTGAGATGTTCATAAGATAATGGCCAGCCACACTCTGAACTCCTTTTTCCACTGTAGAGTGAACCAGAGGAAATGCCTCCAGAAGCTAAGATGCGTATGAAGAACATTGGAAGGTAAGTCAGCTGTGAACTGTGGTTTGAAGAAGGGTGAGCATGGAAGAATATCAAGTTCAAGTCTTGCAGATGGCTTACAAATACAGGAAGATGGTTCAAAAAGTTTTTCTTCAGAAACAAGCACAGTAATTATAGATCATGTGTTTCTATTGTAGTTTAAGAGTAGTGTGCATACGTTTTTGTGTTGGATCTAATTGCTGCCTTCTTCTGAGGAAGAAATTTGTTCTACGTCACTAGTTTTCTTCTTGGAGATTAGTAGTCAAGAGTTGCAAACTGCAAGTTTTTGTTTGCTGCTCAGTCTTATATCTTGGTAGTTCCCCATTTTACACGTTGCCCTGAGGTCTGTAGTCTGCTCGGATTTTTAAACTCATGCTAGAGAAAGATGAAGATGGTCTTCTGGAGAGACAAAAACACAAACAAACAGCTGATTTACTTTTAAAATAAATACGTATTGCTCTTTTGCTTGACACAGATTTGAGGCACATTAGGGTCAATCTTAAATATAGGGAAGGCTTTACTTAAGAGAGAGATTAATCTTGAGCATATGTATTTTGAAGATGTTCATCATTACAGATTGCTTTTAAAATCAGATCCCTGAGTTGACTTCCTGCTAATGCAGGCTTACTGCTTCTCAGTGAATTTTCTTCTCCAACGGTAGATTTGGATCCTCAGCTTCTTTGCCTGTACTACAAATGCTTCCCAGTTAGCAGCAGTTACTGCCATTTCCACTCCCTCTGCTGCCCCATCTCATCTTGACATGCCACAGACAGATGAGTTTTTTTCACCAACTGACAGTTGCTAGTAGCTAGGACTCCTGACATAACTGAAATAAAGAAATGTGTGGTAGTTCCTGGCAGCAGGTTGGACTTCAAACTGATTTTTTTAGTGCCCTGTTGCACTAATTACTGTCGTTAAAGTGACTTTCTCAACTGATGCTGTTTTGCTTTTCACAGGGATACACCAACCTCAGCAGGACCAAATTCCTTCAATAAAGGAAAGCATGGGTTTTCCGACAACCAGAAGCTATGGGAGCGAAATATAAAATCTCATCTTGGAAATATCCATGACCAAGAGAATAACTAAACAATGTGGATTGAGATTTGGGTGTCTGGGGGGAGGGGAGGGTGTAACATTAAAGGAACAGTCTCCTTTTTTAAGAATGGTGTAAGACTATCTTTGGAGCCACTTTTTTAAGATTTTGAGTGGTACACTAATAACTGAGTTTGAAATTAGAGGTAATTTATGTTTTGTATACAGATCTCAAGGCGTTTGCTAATTTTGTAGTTCCATGTGATTAGTTTCAAAAGGTTACAGATAATAAAGAAATTGGAGTGGTACCTTTTTAAGATTTTTTTTTTTTTTTTTTTTTTTTTTTTGTCAGTGATTAATTAAGGTGAAGGAAAAAGGTTACTGTCTCTTTAATCAGGTTAACATAGAGTGCTCTTGCATTCTTATTTCTGGCTCCCTCTTCCTAACAGGAGAAACAGTTGGCTCTTGGGAATACTGCTAAAGAGTGAGCATTGTCTTGTGCTAGAAGTGTTACTGGACTATTCATTTGAATAAGAACTTAAACAGGAAACATTAAGAACCTGGGTTTATTTTTTTTCCCCTGCAGTTAACTTTTTGTTAAGTCTTTGCAAACTAGAAATTATGTTGCTCTGAGTGGCTCTGGTAACTTAGCTCTAATTTTGTTTAAAACTTCATGTAGGATGTGTAACATTCTGTGGCCTGTTTCACGCTGAGGAAATGGGCCTTGTCTGTATATTAGATACAGTCTGTAAAGAATATTCACTACAAGGATAAGTCAGTATTTTCAATGTGCTCCTCTTAAGTCATTAGCCTTCAGTAGTGCTTGTTAGCATTTCCTTGTGAATTAAATAGAGACTAATATTAAATGCAACAATGAGTGGTACACAAAGGCCACCACCAGAAGGACAAGATAATGTACGTTAAGCTGCCCGTTTGGTTGAAATAGTTTTCTTTACTATGCCTAGAAGGAATAAAAGCCACACCAAAAATCAGTAACTCACTGCTTAAGTATGAAAAATCTTAAGATGCACTTTCCCTGTCTTGCCATGTAAAAAAAAAAATGCCTTGATGCCTGTGTCTTCAGTGGATGCTATCTGGTTTCAAAAAAATCCTGGTTTTGCAGTCCTAATGCGTGTAGTATCAACTAGAAATAAAACTCATCCTCTTCCTGTCTGTCTGCCTTTTGCAGTAATTTGGAAAAATGGCAAAGTAACAGCTGCAACAATAACAAAAAAGCTTGAAAAAACTTAAGGTTCTTTCTGAACTCCAATTCCTGACAGCATCAACAACTGCTTTCATTTTAACCTGGAACTGATGGTAGAGTTCGGTATATTAATTGCTTTCATCCTCTCTCTAAAGCCTTTCTTCATGTTAAATTTAAACCTGCAAGTGCAGAAAGGAAAGTGCATCTTCAGTTGTATTTTTTTTATTTTATTTTAGGAAAGCTCTGACCACTTAGACTTTTGAGTTTGTATGTTCTAAAAAAATATTTTTTGTATTTTTGTATTGTATGTGTAATCTTTTTTCTTTTGAAGTCTGATGCAGTTGAATACCTGTAACTATTTTCTTTAAAGGCCTTGTTATAAACGTAACATAAAAACGTATACATTATTTTTTTTTCCATAGCAGAAATCTTTGGTTTATTTAAAACAAAGAAACAAACAAAACAACAACAGATAACCCAACCTGGGTGCTATTGGAGCTTGGCAAGGCAAAAAGAAGCATTTGCGTTTCACTTACTTACTACATGTGGTTGTATTTGTCCAAAGAAATCCTTGAAGATAGTAGGTATTTTTAGTGAGTGGCTGTTTTATCTTGCTTCTTAGCAGTTACTGGATACATTCTTGTTTTCTTCTCTTAGGAGAAAGCTAAAGGGGATTTGGAATAAGAGGGTAACAGCAAGACCTATTCTTTCTTAATTAACCCTGCTGTCTACCACGTCTTCCACTTCTTTGCCTGCAGCAGGTATTGATTTCAACAGTTTCCTGGTACTTAGAGGCAGAGCAGCACACTTGCTAGGATGTAGCTTTTGTGGAAGTCAGATAACAGTTTTATATTTGTCTGATTTACTTCCGTGGTCAGTAAATGTAATTCCAGTCTGTGTGAGAGACTGCAATAACTAATAGATCTGAATTGAAGGTAAGCCGAAATTCTGTCTCTCAAGTTCCTTCTCAGTGCTGTGTGGAAGAAAATCAAATCAAGATTGCCTAAATCCACTTGGGACTGAATGTCTGACAGGCTCGATCTAGTAGTTACAAAGGTGTCTGTTGTCTGATGCAAAGAAGAACTGATCTGAGAAGTATGGTTGAGGAGAATGTTAGCTGGAACTTCCACTTGGAGTTCTGGGCTTCCTCTGCAATATTCATTGTCTGAATATAGTAGTAATAAAGGGGAAGGCTATATATTTCAGGGATTCTGTTTGTTTTTTGGTAAGAATATTAAAGAATTCTAAAATTAATTGTGAACTACCTGATTTAGCTGTCCGAAGTTCTTCAAGGGCATTTGCAGAGAATTTAGCTGCCTTGTAGGGAGATGTGGTTGACTGTCAGTAGTTGAAATGTGTTATCCACACAACGTACACTTTTAACTCAGAAGGCTTATGCTTGCTTAGCAGTAAAGCTTTACTTAGCACCTGAGAAGCTTGTAAAACATTTAAGATGTAAGGTGAAGGCAGAAATAATTATCCGGTAACCTTTTCCATGCCTAAACCGCATTTGAACCTGCTTTGTGGCTGGGATGTTGGTGTATCCAAGCTCATTTAACACTAATTATACAAAAGATAATGAGTGTAGGCAGCTACTGGTAGCGTTTCAAGTGTTGCTGGTGCAGCCCCTCAGTCTCGATTTCATTCCTTTGAAAATGTGAGAAGCGTACTGTCCAGATTCTCAGAATCTATATTTAATCAAGCAGAAGGAAGTATGAAGCTGTCTGTCTGTAAGGTAACAGATGATGCTCTTTTAATTTTGTCTGTTTACTTCCTTGTAGTAGGTTACGTAACTACGGCACTCAGACAACTTTGGCAAAAGCAGATGTTATGTCATGGCATCCTCACCCTGGCAGCAGACACAGTTGCATTCAGGCCTGTTGTACTTCATCTCTGCTAGGCCTGTGATTCTTAGAGCACCTCCTTGTCAGAACTGACATGGCTGTGCTGAGTTCTGTATGCTGCAAGTGCTTTTGTCAAAGCTTGGGTTGTGAGGAAGCCCAGAAGCTTTTACTGCCTAACAGAGTTCTTTCACTCTGATACGTGTTTGAATCTTAAAAACGACACTGTGTTTACTTCGGAAAGCTACTTGTTAAATAACAAGCCATTGCTTCTGGGTGGAGGCATGGATATCTATACAATTAGAAGCATGAGCTTCAGGTTACATTTTAACCTTAATGTAGAACTTATTAAATGTCTGTGAATTTCCATTTCTAAATTAAAGAGTGATAGGAGCCCGAGCAGATTTAGGAACCAAGTAAACCTTTAAAATTTAGCGTGCATTCATTCTGCAGTATAAATAGATATGTGCCAGCTTCCCTTCAGGGTAGGTAGAGTAGGTAAGGGTGGCAGTGACTGCCACAGCTAGCAACTGCAATATAAACTATCTGATAAAGTTGTGTGCAGTGAGATCTTGAAAACCTTTGCTCATCTTTGACCTCAGAGCTCATGCCTCATGCCATTTCTTAAATTCAGTTCCTTGGATTTCATAGTGAAACAGATGCTGAAATTTCAGGCCGTGAGCCTATGTTAATACTTTCCTTGAAGTACAAATATATTAATCTAAGGCAATGCAAGTCATAATAAAAATACAGTTCTCCTTTTTTTTTTTTTTTTTTTTTTTCCTAGCTTTCCATAATTTGTAATCATTATGTTTTAAGTGTTGGCTGATGCTTGGTAGGTGGTTATAAAATGGTAATTCAGCCTTTGCTTTTGTGCAAAAAATCTGGTAGTTTTTCATATTCATACATAAGCAAAACTGCACTCTGGTGTTGCAGACACAAAATAGAGCAGTATAGTGTGAAGACTAATAATGAAGCTAGTGTATCTTAGATTAAAAAAAAAAAAATAAAGCATATCTTAAGTGCTTGTTTAGCATTAGTCTGGGCTGCTGAACTTAGTGGTACTGAATAAGTTAATGCTGATGCTACCATTTATAAGACAAGGCCCTCTGACAGACATATTTTACATACGTTGCTGAGCTTTCTGGCAAGCTCTCATAGCTGATGAGTGTCACAGTAGAGTTGTGACATAACCTAATGGTTAGCCTGCTAAGTAGGTACACAGTTCCAATGCTTTAGGTATGCACAGCTCTTCACAGCTCTTCGTTTAACAGCCAGGAGTGATGTGATTCTGGTTCAAATGAAAGGGCAGGGAAAGTTCTCCACACGTCACTTGTGGTTTTTAATTTTTAAATCTACAGTTGCAGCCTTACTGAATAGTATTTGTTCATTGCTAGGCCATGTTAGTCCTTGTGTACTCAGCCTTTTGAAACCCCAGTTTTGATACGTGTACTTCTGATGTCGTCTAGATTCCTGCGTGGGCTCGCAGAGGAGTTACCTAATGTGCCAAAATGCTAAGGGTCGATGTGCCCAAGTCCTAGTGTTTCCATTAGGGAGCAGGATAAACAAAACCAACAAATGAGTCCCAACAAAACAACCTCCCCAGGAACAAAACAACAACAAAGCTGGCTCTTCTGCAACACCAGCATTGCCTTAAGTTGCTAGCAGTAATGAGAAGGCAGCTGTACAACTAATGTCCTTCAGGCAGGAGTGATGCTGGAGAGCTTCCCAGCCCAGAATAGGGGCAAAGCCATAAGTGCCACACGATGCTTCCTCCTGGGTAGCAGTGTTAAACACAGGCACAGTATACATTTATACAGTGCTTGTTGTGCTCTAGTCTGCCCATGTCCTAACACTTCATTTAGGAATGCACTGGTTTTCCTATCCGTGTACAAGTTTATTTAACTTCAGCAAAAGTTGAACATAGGTGATAAATGAACAATATGGAACAGCTTCCTAGGTGTACGGATGAGGGCTGCTCCAAAAGTAATGCCTCCTATGTTGTTATGTTGGCCCACAACGTCAGAAGCAGATGGTGGTATGGCAGTAGGGTGGGACCTTCCCACCAATATTCTCTTCCATGTTGCTGTGACAGATGGCAGTAGAGGGGGGTCTGACAGAATGACAGCTGACACGGGAGTGTGTTTGAAGTAAAACTGAATTCCTCCATGCAGAAAAAACAGCACCCATGGACATCCATCAACACTTGCTGGACATTGATGGAAACCAAACAGTGGATGTGAGCACAGTGAGGCAGTGCGTGGTACATTTCAGCAGTAGCAACAGCAACGTGAAAGATGAGCCGTGTTCTGGATGGCCATGCACAGCTGTCATACCACAAAGTATTTTCAGTCATCTCCACACAAACGAGCAGATTACAACCAGGGAACTGTGCATGGAGCTGAACGTCAGCTTCAGTGCATTGGAAAAATGTTGAAATGTCACAAAGTCCCTGCCAGGTAGGTCCCAAAAATGCTCACATAGGAACATAAAGAACAGAAAGAAAGCTGAAGATGACCGTTTCCTGGATCCCATCATTACAGGTAATGAGACATGGTATGAGCACTACAAATCAAACTCAAGAAAGCATTGTGGAGTGGCAACAAGTGAATTCCCCATCAAAGAAGTTCAATATGCAGCAGTCAGTGAGTACAGTCATTCATTGCCTTTTGAGGTAGGAAAGAGTCCTGGATTTTCTGGAACCACAACCATCAATGCTGACTAAGCTCAGTCAGGTCAGAGAAGATGACCACCTTTCTCTTGCAACACAGTAACACCACGCTTCCATATCAGTTAGAAGACTGTGGAGCAAATTGCTTGTCCTACCACATGCAATGTATAGGTCAGATTTGGCACTTCTGACTTCCATCTGTTCAGGGCAATGAAAGATGGACCACATGGGCAACATTTTCCTATTTTCTAGCAACAGTGCAGTCATAGCAGCCATGAAACACAGTGGGGCACCGCTGCTGGTGCAGATTTTCATGAGTGTGGCTCTTGTTCACTGCTAGTGAAAATGCATAGCTAGTGGTGGTGACTATGCTGAAAAATGTTTGGTAGCTGAGAATGTGCTCCACCAAAGCGTTACCTGCTTTCTGCGTTTGTGGAAGCATTACTTTTGAAGGAACCAATGTAGATGGCAGAATACAGAGAAGGAATAAGTCAAACCTTTTCCACAGAAAAAAAGTTGCTTAAGAGAATAATTTCTGACAATACTGGATTTATTTAATGACAGAAACCGTAACTTTATACATCAAACACTAAATAAAAACAGTATAGTTTACAGATCAAATTATGTACAAGAATTTATTACTAGGAATATAAATGGATACATCTTAGGAGCTTTATTTTTTAAAAAAAATCAACTTAAATAATATCAACTGCATTATTAGCAGTCTTCAAATAGGCTGTGGGAGAATCTTAAATTAAGAGCTTAAGAAATCTAAAGAAAAACATAAGGCAACTGTACAAACACAGGAACAGCAAAACAGGCATCCACAGCCCCTGCTAACTTCATGCCATTCTGAAAAGGCAAGGCACAGTACGTCAGGAAAGGGATGTCCCAATGTTCAGCTTTGATATTCCTGTCTGAGTTTCCCTTATGAACCACCTTTTCAGGTGGTTTTTTATTTTTTTTATTATTATTTATTTTAATGGCAGGCCATCACATCAGTTAAAGCAGGCTCCGAAATTTCTGTTTTTACCATATGCTGGGCAAATAAATTAATGCACCAAAGATTAAAAGATTAAACTGAGGTGCCAATAATATTCTTTGTAAGATAACACACTAAATATACAAATCATGTTCTAGCATTATTTACAGCTGTATTTCCTTGACATTTCATCACTTAATACATAATTATTTGTCAGATACAAACACTGGAGTAAGTTTTACAGATTACCTAGCAGTCTATTCTTTTCTCATCATAATGGCAGTAAGAACTGTTAATTTACCTATGTCTTTATAATTTATAGCAGGATGGCTATCTCAAGATTCCTTTACCATACAAAAATTGAAGCGTTACAGCTAGCAGTACTTTTTCCCCAAAGTATTCCTCTTAGTTTTACTCAATTGGGCAGCCAGAAAAAAAAAAAAAAGAAAAAACAAACCCCATACTTCTAAAGGCTGCAGGATATATAAATGATGACATTACTTCTCTGCAGGATGACCTTCACACCTCTGAAATGGTCATCCACAGATTAACACAAATCCAAGGCAGGAACTTAGATTAACTTAAGAAAAAAAAGGTCAACACTGCTTATCTGCATGCTTGTAAAATAGAAAATGAACAGTGTGCTGTAGCTTCGTAAGCAGATGCTCATAGTTAAGTGTGATGAGGTAAAAATACTCATTCAAATGAAGTGGTTACTTTATCATGGATTCTGCAGTGCTCCTCAGTGGATCTTTTTCATGGATACAGAGATACACACATCTAACTTCATTTACCAATTGTACTCGACAGTGTTCCAGGCTTCCATGGGTACGCTGCTGCTGCTGGCCAAAATTGGAAAGCATTTGACAATGCTAGAGGGACTAATTTAAAGAACACAGTTCTGACTGTTCAAATACATCCCATCATCTCCAACCAGACACATTTGTTGTTTAAAAAGAACTTAAAAAATGAAAGAACCCACACCTTGAGATGCATACAGTACATAGTACTAAATCACAGACATTTCAACTAGGGGCCAAGCATTGCTGTGAGTCAAGCTTTCTAGTACGAAAACCTAGTAAGAATTTTTCAATCCACATAGTATAACACTAGGTAATTAGCTTGCCCTAGCATTTGTTACAGCAGCAGCAATAAAATTACCAGTCTCCAGAAGACATTAAGACCAATTTATTACATGATACTGAGATACTCGTAATTCTCTACCCTGATACTGCTGTGTCCCCCATTTGGGAATTGTCAGAGCTCCTCCCATCAGCAAGATACCAAATCAGATCATAAGTAGAAGGACTCCTTCAGTACAAAAATATGCCCATTCTCAAAGAAATGTGCCGTTACATCCCTTTCACTTACAACTTTCTGTATCAAATTTAATGCAGAAATATATCTGTCACTAAGTTACCCGCTTTGGATACACAGAATAACAGTTCCTTTACACATCTCAACATTATTCACCTAAACATAATAGAGGATGAGGTGTAAGCTCCTCACTTAAAAGATGAAAGGCAGTTTACCGTAGAGTAATATCTCTGAAATGGGCTGTCTTCCAGTGAATTTGTTTTCCTCATCTCAGAGTACCACACCCTCAGACATCAGAACAGTCGTGCCCATTAGTTTTTTTGGAACCTTGGACCTGCTGCCCACTGACTTGGAATATAAATAACTCCTGCAAAACTGGGATTCACTGATTGCAGATGTCACAACTGCCAAAAGACAAAAGCCTCTTTAAGTCAGACACAAAGCACAGCTGAAGCATTTCATCATTGCCTTGTTTCGGGCAAGAGATGGAACCCAACTCTGGCAATTTGCTGACAAACTTGATGAAATGCACATTAAACAAAAGTTATCAATTACTGTATGTTTCTAGGTTTTAGTGCAGCTTCTTTGTACATGTGTTTAAATTTACAGCACGATACTTATCCAGGAAATAATATTAGTCCAACCTTTTTTTTTTAAAAAAAAAAAAAAAAAACAAAACCAGACCAGTACAGACATTTCTGCCTTCAAAGTACTGGCCTAAACTGAAGCATTTAAACTTTTTCTCTGTAGCACACAGTGCAATATTTCATAGCCCAGAAATTCAGTATAGGG